CCCGACTTTCGATCATCGACCCATGCGAACGGATCTCACCAGCCCCAGGAACACGGTACATCACCACTGAACATGGGCGCCATGACAGGCGCACTACCCAACTATGGCACCAACGACAATGCTTCAACGAATCCGCAAACGGTACCCCGCTCGTTGTCTGGCGCATCCACGTCAGCTGTGGCATACCAACTCGGACAGAACCTACAGATGACTTCTAGCAACATGTCCACTCATGCTTCATACGGACCTGGATTTGCTACTGGGCTTCCCCAACAACCCTTCATGCCTCAACAGGGCTCACAATACAGCGCCTATCCTTCCTTCGCGACAAACCAGCCTCGTCTAGCTGGGGTGGCACCGATGCCATCCCCATACCAGAGCTATCAGCAGGCGTCACAGTACATGTACTATCCGGCGCCATACGGACCACAAGGGCAATTCAACCCCGGGTTCGGTACTCAGAATCAATTGATGTACGAAAGGAAGGCCAGTTTGACGAACACGGGTATGCAAGGCCACGTTGCCGATTATTCGCATGTCGATGGCGGCTTCTCGGGTGTTCGCATGGCCACTGGAAATTTTCTAGGGGACTCGATGTCTCCATACGGTGCACCATTTGCGCAATCTCCTGGTAAGTATACAGAAGCTTGTCCTTACACATAATACCATTGGAGTATCGTATGTGCAGTTGCTGATGTGACCATAGCCATACCTCGCTCTGGGCCAATGAGTTCCATACCTCGCGGGCCGCCTCGCAAACCAAAACAGTCTGGACACGCACTTTGGGTTGGCAATCTCCCACCTGGAACCACGATAGTCGCCTTGAAGGACCACTTCTCTCGCGACGCTACCAAGGATATCGAAAGTCTGTTTTTGATATCCAAGAGCAACTGTGCGTTTGTCAACTATCGCACGGAAGCATCGTGCACGGCTGCAATGCACAGATTCCACGACTCACGCTTCAACGGTGTGCGCCTAGTCTGTCGACTTCGACGCAGCTCTGCTCCGGCATCAGGCGTCCCTACAGCACCCTCGGCTATGATAGGCCAGCAAAAGAACGCTTCTCGGCCAGCGACACCGATGCAGGACAGTGTCACTGATAATCTTACAGAAGACGCGGCCGGCTCACCATCGCACAAGAGTATTGAAGATCACAGATCATCTGCCGATACTGCCACGAAATACTTCATTGTGAAAAGCCTTACGCTGCAAGACCTGGAGCTCAGTGTTCGGAACGGTATCTGGGCTACACAGTCTCACAATGAAGATGTACTGAACAAAGCATTCCAGGTAAGTGCATAACAAACTCCATGCCTGTGAGAGCTGGCTGACAGAACCCAGTCTGCTGAGAATGTCTACCTCATCTTCTCCGCGAACAAGTCGGGCGAGTACTTTGGTTACGCCCGTATGGCGTCACCGATCCTCGAGGATGGCGCTCCTATCACAGGCTCGGCACCCAAACCAGAGACGATCGCAGATACGACAGACGTGCCAAAGTCGATCGCGACCCCAGCAACAGAATGGGCACCTCGTGGAAGAATCATTGACGACTCTGCGCGCGGCACGATTTTCTGGGAAGCAGAGCTCCCCGACACCGACGCTGAAGAGGAGGGTGAGGACAAAGGCGACAAGACTGACAGAAACGAGGCGCCCCAACCAGCCGAAGGCGATACTTCAGCCGTGCCACAGAGCTGGGGCAAGCCCTTCAAGATTGAGTGGGTCTCTACAAACCGCCTACCATTCTACCGTACCCGGGGCCTCCGCAACCCGTGGAATGCCAATCGCGAAGTCAAGATTGCGAGGGATGGCACGGAGCTTGAACCCAGTGTCGGAGAGCGCCTGGTCCAGATGTTCCATCGCTTGGGCCCTTCCGCTACGGGTGCACCGGTAATGCCGCCTGGTGTAGCCACCGGCATGATGCCTCAGATGCGAACATTCTAGGTACGTGCTTTTTACTTGAGTTGGACTTGTTGCATAGCACCTAATGCATCAACCTTAAAGTCATGGCTATCGTCGCACTTGGCATTTCACAAATTGAGAGTTGCCTAGGTAAATATGATGCGTCTTTTCTTTTAACTGGAACGAGCTTTATTTGGGGCTCTCCGCTGCCGGGCAGTGGGGGATGCACCAATCTCCTTTCGATGCATTCGCTTTTGTCGTTGTTATCAAAGAAGGAAGGAATTTTGACGATGAGATGATGATTTAATAAGCAAGATGAGATCAGGAAACACGAAGGATACGAAGCCAGTACTTGGATTGGTTTGGATAGTTGAGTATCCTTTCCTTCCTATATTGCTCTCGTCATCACTGTAGTATCATTGGAGTTTCTGTTTCTGTATCCTTTTCACTTTCGTTTTAATGTAACATATTGTCTTGCATTGCCCGTCCTAGACTTCGCCCCTACTTTGTGCGCGTAAACCTGTTGTACTCATAACCGCACCCTTGCTCATATGGTCTTTTACTTTTTTCGGTATCTTCTTCACGGGGAATCCTCACTGTTTTGCCCATCGGCCCTTTCTGCGCTGGTTGGGCTGCACAGATATTAACGAACTCGCTCGCGTTCTAGCCCTCACATGCGTCTAGTCTCCATAGGTAGGAGTACCGGCCATCTTGCGGATTCATAGGCCGCGACCAATGACGCACTCTCAGCAGATCCCGAGGCAGTGGCAGCGTGGGAAGGCATCATTGTCAGCCCACTGTGGCCATTAAACAATAGAACGCCTTGGCCATGGCCATGAAAGCGTTACTGGCATGGCCTACGCCAGGCGGTCGAAATGACGAGACAGCAAGGTTGGAAGGTCCGATCAAACCACCGACGCTAGGTGTCTCTGCCGTAACATCGCCCACAGAATCGTCATGAGGGAACGTAAACTTTACTCACCTCCACGTGTCCTTGCACACACTCGAATCCCCAGCAAAACAACCGTTTTCGCCCCCAGGCTTCGTGCTCGGATGCTGCGTGCACGCGGGAAGCATACATCCGGCAAGGAATGCTGTCCCTAGAGTAAAAGCCACAAATATTGTGCATCTCCGCCCAAGCTCTGAGAAGCCTCACTTTGCAACCCAACGCCTTAGATAACGCCATAGTACAGTAGTAGCCCAACAATTCCCCCACCCACATGCTAGGTACATGTAGAACAAGGCTGGCACGCCGTTATACCCGTCAGACAGTAGAAGGAATGGAGCACAAGAAGAGAACAAGATCCAGTTCCGGCACACACAAGTCACTTTGTGAATATACCCACTGCGACTGTTTTCCCCTGTCAATCAGACCCCTAGTCCGCGCAACCTCAAGTCACACAGCAGACCACCTGCAGTACAGGGACATCGCAATCTAGATCTCCCATACCGTACTGTACATGACGGCGACAATCATCCGCGTCATCCGCTCGCATGCCTTTCTCACTTTTGCCCATGATGGACTGTGCGTTTCCCACTCTGTCCTCGCTGCAAAAATGCCGCGGTGGCGGTTCTCGCTGCATTCAGCATGTTTTTTAAGTGGGGATGGCAGGGGTCCGCGGAAGGGAGCGGGCTGCGCGCTAACACCCGTGTTTGCAACGAGTAATGGTGTCATACTAAACGCGATGGTGAGATGACCACATGCAAGTGCCGGTGTCTAAATTTTCCTTTTGGCGTTAAGCGGTGTGTACGATCCATGGACAGCTTCCTGCTCCCAATTAGGAGGTTAAAGCCGAAAAAGCGTTGCAGATAGTCGTGTAATAGGGGGGAACAGGGGTTCATGGCGTTGTATTTGTTGTCGTTACCACGAGTGTTGCCCGGTTTGCTTTTACCGAGGCTGCCTAACACAACCTTGGAATCGACATGTACAGTTCTATCATGTCGCTCATCGAACCTTGAAGCCACCTCGTCCTACTAATCAACTTTGCCGATCCTCAGCACCGGTTTCCAGTGAATCTTGGAACTTCCAATCACTTATTTAGTGCGGTTGCTGTACCCGGCCATGCACAGAAACGCGACTCGCCCACGGCAGTTTCCGCTATACATGCAGCTTTCCTGCCAGCTTATTTTTCCCATCTTGAGGTGGCTTGGATAGGAAGGTTCGCTCCCGAGATTCAATCGCGATCGCAAGACTGGTTATGACTATTGCTCGGACACTCTTAGACTATGGGTTCCTTTTGTCCTATTCGAGATCAGAGCATTTCTGCAGAGGCATGTCCAGAACGCGATCATTACCACATAAGCTTCCGTCAAGCTCACAGCCAAGGTCACTTTGTGGGCTCGATGCTCTGGTCAATAGTGGTACGCTCCACTCAGACTTTCCTCTATGTCATTTGTCCGGTTCTTGACCGATGAGTCCAGCTCCGAGATCGCTTCTCTTATGTTTTGTCCTTGCTTTACGTTTAGGCTTGTATTACGTTTAGACTATTATGAAGACCTGTAGGCTTGGTACCTGATCAACTAGGTGATGGTCGAGACTCTTGCAAGGCCGTTGACGGGCCCCTGTATAGAGTTGGATGTCCACTATCACGTGCCGTCGTGTCTTAGTCGCGCTCCCGGTAGCTTGCGTCGTCGCGTCTAGCATCTTTCCAATATAGTCTCATGAAGCCTCTATGTTCATAAGTAAAATTGGAACAGGGACAGTGTTTCGCGGTGAGTTTACTCGAGATAGAGCACATGCATGCGAGACTGGTTGAAGTTACCCTTGCTCGATCACGACGTTGGCTACGACAATGTCAAATGAGAGGCGGCGGATTGCTGCCATTTCCTAGTACTGCCATTGCCTGAATAGTACATGGCGCTTGCCAGATGGAATTATGCCGGATTTAGCAGTGTGCACTATCATCACTTACCCCTCAGCAACGTCATATCTCGACCTTTCGAGTGTACATCGCATGCTCTTTTGTACGGCGAACTTATCATCGCATATCTCGAATACTACGATCACAGCCGATCTCAAGGTAGATACAGCCGTAGACCTTAGAGCCCTCGAATTCGGCAAGCAGGTAGTCGTTTCCCTGTCGAGACAAGAACCATTCACCATGTCCACTCCCGACCTACCAACCAAGATGTGGGCAGCGCAAGTTGTCGAGTTCAACTCACCGTACAAAGTTCACCAAATCCCCCTTCCGTCAGACCTCGCACCGAAAGACCTCCTAATTAAAGTCGCCGTCGCATCACTTTGCCACACAGACTCCATGGTCTCTGCTGGCAACATGGGCACACCCCTTCCCTGCACAGCTTCTCATGAAGGCGCCGGTACCATCGTAGCCATAGGTTCTTCCGTAAAGGACTTCGCGGTAGGCGACAGGGTCATGGCAGGACTGTTATACCATGCATGTGGGACCTGCGCTGAATGTCAAGGCCCCTCGGCTTGTCCGCAATACTGCCAGAAGACTGGTGGTTTCCTGGGTGTGACAAACCACGGCTTTTTCGCTCAATACGCGAAAATTGATGCGGAGCAAACTGCAAAGTTACCTGACAAGGTGTCTTTCGAGACTGCTGCTCCGCTGGCTTGTGCGGGTATCACTATCTACCGTGGCATTGTCTTGTCTGCCGTGAAAAAAGGAGAATGGATAGCCATTGTAGGTAGTGGAGGTGGCCTAGGTCATCTCGGCGTGCAGTTTGCAAGGGCAATGGGGTTGAACGTTATTGGTATCGATGCGCGAGATGAAGGTTTGGAACTCACGCGGCATTGTGGTGCAGATGTTATCATTGATGCTAGAACAAGCAGAGAGGATATCATCAAAGCTGTACATGCTTGTACGAACAATGAAGGTGCGACGGCTACTTTGAACGTAAGCGATGCTTCCTCGGCGGCGGCTACGGCATGTGCTATCACCAAAATGCATGGCACTATGATTCAGATTGCGCAACCGGATGACGTGGTAATCCCGTATCATGAGCTCATCTTTCGCGATATCAGGGTCAGAGGGTCGGTCATCTCTACTGTAGGTGAGGCGCGCGATATGTTGAAACTGGTTGCAGAGCATGGTATTACAGTGCAGACGAATCCGTTTCAGGGGTTAAGTGAGATTGAGAAGTTGGTTGAGTTAGCGCATGGAGGCAAAATGAAGGGAAAGGGTGTTATTATCATGGACCAGAAGCAGGTATAGGTTGGAGCAGAATAGATGATACATGACTACAATACACCGGCAGTAGAACTAGCAAGATATATCTGGTGCATGCAGAAGTACTGATTCCAAGCAAGTCTCATTGAACACCATGGACCGAAACCTACATCGTTGTTTGTTTTAGTAACACAGTAGAGTAACATCATGCAAGTATCTTAGGGTATGGTCCTGTTAGGTACCGCTTTGAAGAATTCCGGTGTGTATCATCCTTTGTGCTGGGGACGTAGCAATACTACAACAGCCGGTCTAGAAAACATACGTTAAATGGCCATGCAGTGTGCTAGCATCGTAAGATCAAATTTGAGTTCAGATTAAACAGACGCGATTATACTACAATTCTATAAACCTACACACTAACCCAAAACTCGTCCAGCAGTGGAAGCTGTGCTCCTGTCCTTAGTCTCTACCTTCCTCAACCCCTTGCCAGCAGCAATCTCGCCAAGCAACGCTCCACGGTTCGGCATTCCACCTGGAGCCTTCATGCTAGGCATTGGGGGTGGCGGAGGTGCAGAACCACCTGGTGGCGGTGGTGGGCCCGGCGGCGGCGGAGGCGCACCGCTCGTAGGCATGGGAGGAGGTGGTGGGATACCAACGGGCGGTGATGTCACAGCTGGACTCTCAGCACGCGGGCTCTTGTTGTCCATGGAGGAAAGTGGACGTGGTGGTGCCATGGTACCGAACAACATGGAAGCCAACTGCTTGGCGCCACCTTGGGGTGCCTCATCATCGTCGGATGAGTCGTCGTCGTCTGAGTCGACGACAGACCAGTCATCATCGTCTTGTCTTAGTCTGCGCGCTGAAGGTTGAGCAGGCTCATTGAACGTAGGCGCAGCAGCCTTGTTGGCTTGCTCTTGAGTGAGACGGTGGAAAGGGTTCGTGGACACCTCGCTTGTGTTGCTCGGTGGGGGCGGAGGTGTCGAGACAGTGCTGTTCTCCTGGTTCGACATTGCCATCTTCTTCAAGAATGGGTTCTTGGTCTCAGTGTCGCCTAAGCCAGGGTGAGGACTAGTCACCGAAGACGCAGGCGGGCTGGCGATGGACGATGGTGGTGTGTTGTGCGAAATTTGGGGGATTGGTGGTGCTTGTGGAGGTGCAGTATCACGCGGCAACTCTTGACTGGCGGTGGGTGTAGTGTCCTGAGGCGTGATGTTCTGCGGGCCATCGTCATCCGAGGACTCGTCGTCGTCGAGTGCCTCAAGCTGCATCTGCAGCTGACGTTCGCGCTCACGAGCAGCTTCGATCTCAGCGCGCTGGGCGGCCAGTCGAGTTTCCTTCTCCTTGGCATCTTTGGAAGCAGCTTCTCTGCGCTTCTTCTCTTCGGCCTTCTTGAGCTTGCCTTGTTGAACTTGCTCTTCCAGGGCACGAAGCCTAGCCTGAGCGGATTCGCGCTCCTTGGCAAGTTCATCCTCTTGTCTACGCTCCTCGTCCCTAGTGTTTATTAGTATAGACGTAGAGGATAGATCGATGTATACATACTCCATGCGCCTTGTCTCAGCTTCTTGTGCTTCCTGCTGCTCGCGAAGAGCCTTCTCAGCCATGTCATTCTCTGCTCTCTTCGACTCTGCTTCCGCTTGTTGCACATCATGCTGCGCAACATCTGTCTTGTTCTTACGCGAAGCTGGGGGTGGCGGTGCGGGCTTCTTGCCGCTGCTCTTAGTCGGAGCAGGTGGTGCTGCGGACTCGTCATTGAGACGTCTTTGACGCTCTTCTTCGCGGCGCGCATCTTCCTCTTCAGCCTGACGCAGCTTCTCTTCACGTTCTTTCTTCTCACGATCGGCACGCTGTTGAGGTGTCTCGCCAGCTTTGACAGGAGCTTTGATACCCAAGGCAGCTAGGCGCTCGGCCATGCGTTGCTCAGCTTGTTGCTTGATGAATGCCGCACGTTCTTCTGGAGTCTTGTATGCCGAGTATGACCCACCGCCGGGTGTAGTTGTTGATGCACGAGGAGGAGGGTCGACACGAGCAGCAGGGCTCTCATAGCGAGATGTTGCTGGCCGTCTCTCCTCTGAACGGGCCCTGTAGTTATCGCGAGATTTACTGTGCGAGCTTAGCAAGATGGTTGCCAAAGTTATCGGATAATACTTACTCGTCCTTGCGGATGCGCGAAGCCCGGCTGCTGCGCTGCAGATCAAAGATGAAGTCCTTAACGTCATCTTCCACACCTAGAGCCTCCTCCCACCTGCGTCGTTCATGCTCGCTTGTATTGTCATGCCCTCCTTCTTTCAAGCTCGACTCTAGGCCCCTAGTATATTCGTTCACACTGTCTTCAACATCACGGATCATGCGCTCATTGTTCTCCCTCTCTGCTCTGATGCGCGAGTTTTCCTTCTCCAAGCGCTCAGTTGCAGCGCCAGTGTCATCGCTAGCAGGAGCAGGCTTTCCGGTCAACGCAGCAGAGCGTGCTTGCATCATAGCCTTAGCGCGAGCTTTCAGACGGTCGGATTCAGTCACCGCACCGCCAGGTCCAGTACCCACGATGGTAGATGCGGATCCAGGGTGTGCCTTGGCATCTTTGAGTCTGAACAGCTCAAGTTGAGCGTCTGCTATCTCACGCTCTGTTCTGCGAACATTGGACGCAAGTTCAGGCAAGCGATCAGTCAAGGTCTGTAGTTGGCGCTTCAGGGCACGACGTTCAGCATCCGAGTCAGACGATCTAAGTGAAGCCTTGGGATGGGCATCGATGTCTTCTTGTACCCTGCGGATGCGGCGGTAGAGATCCTCAGCTTCTCGGCGGTCTCGGCGATCCAGCGCATCGTCTTCATCGGCTGCGTTCTCGTCTTGTGTATCCATGGCATCCAACAAGATTTGCTTCTCTTTGACAGACTTTCTCAGCTGGTCAAGTGACATCTCGTCAGATCGCTCTGAAGAAGGAGAAGCCGGCTGCGCTGGTGAAGGCGAGCGACCGCCACCACCAAGACGATGTCTAGCGCTCGACTTGTATCCTACATTATCGTCGTTGTTACGGAAAACTGTAGCATCCTTTCGGCCACCGGCTTGCGGACTACCAGCGCGGAACGAGTGAGACTTTAGGTAGCTAACACCAGTGCGCTGAGGCTGAAGGAAAGCACCAGAGTTCTTCCTGTCCTCGGCATCTCCACGTAGCAAGTTCTTCATCGCACCAATAGAGTCATTGATGTTGCGCGTAGATGGTGGCACCAGCTCAGGAGGGAGACGAGCGGGGATGGGGTAGCCGTTGAGCTTACGGTAGATCAGATGCATGGCAACCGCGAATTGATCTAGGTCAAGACGACCTCTGTCAGCAGAGTCGGCGAGGGTCCAAATGCGCTCCAAATCTGGCTTGGGCAGTCCACTCTGTCCAAAAATTTCGAGGGCTTGCGCTCCACTGATGTAGCCCTTGGTCATGCCATCCCAGGCTCGGAAAGTATCATCATACAGCTTCTTCTCTCCTTTCGTAATGGCCCAGGGAATCGTGGCGTTACCAGTCAAACCGGCAGTCGTATGGTTACCACCCTCCCGGCCAGTCTGAGGCATCATTCGTTGCGCCAAAGCTTCAATGTTTGGCAATCCAGTGGCTGGGGTATTGGCTAGACCCCACTGACCTGGCATCCCGGTTGGCTGCGCATTGAGAGGTGCCATGCCGGTCTGATTAGGCGCGAGGTTTGAGCCAAAGCCGGTAGGCATCGGAGGCATCGGTGGACGTGGTCCATTATAGCCACCAGGAGCCTGTCCAAAGCCAGTGGGCTGCGGCTGCATACCAGTCGGTTGCTGTCCGAAACCTGTAGGTTGTGGCTGCATGCCCATTGACTGCTGTCCATATCCAGTCGGCTGCGTGACCAACGTATTCAACAATTGGCTGTTCGATGGCTGGGGCTGGGGCTGCTGGATTGTAGGAGGCTCGTTGAACTTCGGGGCATTGCTCGCCGGTGTTGGGCGGCTTGACGAATCGTCGCCGACTCCGAACGATATGATATCCACCATGCTAGAGACCTCGTTCTTGACTCGCTCGGGGAGGGAGTTGGGCAGGTCCTTGCCGGTCAACTTGAGATTGCAAAGGTACATGGCGAGCGCAAATTCGGGGAACAGGAGCTGGCCGGACTTGGTCGTATCCGACAAGGTCCTATGTTTGTTAGCACTGGATTATGCGTGCAAGTTGCTGAACGTACCAGATGTGGGAAAGCGCATCGCCAGATAGCTTGGAGCGCATCAAGAGGTCCCGCGCCTGGTCTCCGGACAAAGCCTGGGCATCCCCAACAGCCGACTTGAACAGCTGCTCGAACTTGGCCTGGTCTTGCGCCGTGATGAAGGACAGCCGTATGTTCGGGATCTTGGTCGTCTTGGCAGGAACGGGTGGTGGCACTGAAGACGCAGAGCTGCCGCGGAACGAATCAGCCATCTGCGCCGATGTCATGCCCGTGGGCTGCGGCCGTTGCGGTTGAGCAGGCGGTTGTTGCTGCTGCTGTTGCGGCGGCGCGCCAGTCTGGAAGGGCATCTGCTGGGGAGCCTGCTGCTGCTGCTGGAATTGCTGGTTCTGCTGCCCTGGAAAGCCTGTGTACTGCGGTTGCATGCCCGTTGGCTGCTGTCCGAAGCCCTGCGGCTGGCCCGGAAAGCCAGTAAACTGTGGTTGCATTGGAGCTCCTCCGAATCCCGTCGGCTGAGGTGCCAATCCACCCTGAAAGCCTCCAGGCTGCTGGAAGGGCTGCTGTTGCTGCTGCTGCCCATACTGAGGCTGCCCCGGTCGGGCACTGTTCCCACCCCCTAAGTACGAGTTGGACCCAGAGAACATGGCGGGCGAGTTATCGCGGGTCGATTAGAGCAGTGGAGATGCGCGCATGCGGTACAAGAACTAGAAAGATGTAAGGAGCGCGTACGGGCGGGAATGGCGAAAGGTGTAATGAGGGAGGTTGAGAGTCTGTGCTGCTCGCGCAGCCCTGGAGGTCCCAGGGTAAGTTCGCGCTAAGGTGCTTCAGTCGTCATCTTCGAGGACGCGCTTGCCTCGTCGGTAAGCACCAGGACCCGACATCCACTACTCTTACATCATCTTCATCATGTCGAACGCACAGAACGGCGCAGGTGCTGCATCGCATTCCGAGGCTGATCTTGCCCAAGTGAGTTTTGTGGCAATTGCTGTACTTTGGGAATTAACAGCTCGGGTAGGCGTTCAAGGAACTGCAGCGAGGCGAACAGACCGCAGCCGCCCTGGAGAGTCACCTCGATTCTATTGAAAAAAAGATTGAGGCACTCCTGGCGCAAGCCGAGAAGGCCGAGCAAGAGTTGAAAGATACTCCGGAAGATCCTGACAAGTCTTCCGGAACCGAAGAAAAGGGTTCCAAATAAGATCTACAAAGCCATGCGTCTGCTCTGCGATATGAACCATGTACACCCTGCACCAACTCTGGGTCGGATATATTGCAAGCACGCCGTGAATACTACGAGAATAACGACCGAGTACCCTCGTTCTCATGAGCATGATGGATGACACGAGCGAGGATGGATACAAGCATGATCAATGCGCTCTTAGCAGAATGGACATGTTGGAGTCTTAGCATTAAGGGGGCATAGCATGCGCTTGTACGTGCTCTTGGGTACCTGTTCACAAGCCACCGACAGTCGAGGGCTTTACTTCGGAACCCTCCATCTTAAAGACTTCATCCAAATGGAACACACCATTGCTGTCCTTCTCAACCACACCTACCTCGGTGATAATACCATCAATAAGTTCTGCAGGTGTGACGTCAAAAGCTGGGTTCCATACACCGATACCGTTGGCTGCAATACTGATAGTCTCAACAACACCAAGATCTAGCGTGACTCCATCGTGTCTCGGTCCTTTGACGAGCGTCACTTCCTTCCCTGGGCGTTCTTCGATGACGATGTCTGACCCCGATTTGGTCTTCAGGTCAATAGTAGTCCTCGGTGCTGCAACCAGGAACTTGACGCCGTGGTGCTTTGCAAGAATGGCTAATGAATAGGTTCCAATCTTGTTGGCAGTATCACCATTTGCGGCCACCCGGTCAGCACCAACCACGATACCCGCAATATTCTCGCTTCCACCCCGTAGTCGGAGTAGCGCTGCGGCCATGGAGTCTGTGATGAGAGTTGCCGGTATCTTGTCGTGGACCAGCTCAAATGCTGTCAGTCTGGAGCCTTGGTTGTATGGTCGCGTTTCAGAGCAGAAGGCGTGCTTCAACGATCCATTGGCATGTAGAGATCGGATCACTCCAAGCGCTGTACCATATCCTGCAGTTGCGAGGGATCTGTACGATTAGCAGTTGAAAATATCTGATGCAGAATCGTACACACCCGGTGTTGCAGTGTGTCATCATGCTCACAGGTCCCTGCTTTCCTGCCTCCGTATTTTTCATTATCCACTCCGCGCCATGCTTGCCGATATTCTCATTGTCGCTCACGTCGTCGACCAACATCTTCTCGGCAGCGGCAACATATGCTTCTCTCACGGCTTCTCCACTCGCTCCCTCACTCGCAGCAGCTTCCTCGGTAATTTTCCGAAGCTTGCCAGCTGCGTCTGCAAGGTTGACGGCAGTTGGTCTGCTCGTTACCAGGTAGTCCAGCTTTTCTGTAATGAAAATCTTGACCTCTTCTGCTACTGAAGAAAGCTTCGTGTTTGTGAGCTCAACTGCGAGAGCGAGAGCAGCGACTATGGCGATAGCTGGCGCTCCTCGCGTTCGCATATCCTTGATTGCGTGCCATGCATCAGTGCTGGAGTAGATGCCATCATATTCTTCAGCGTGGGGTAGTTTCAGCTGGTCGAGAATCTCGAGCTGGCCGCGCGAGTATTTGATAGCTTGGAGTACCATTTCGAAAAGTCGATAGTTTGGTGTATCACTCCAACGTGCCGCAAAAAATTAAATGCCAAGATGGTGAGCGTTGGGTTTCAATAGCCCCATCCCGCGGAGACCGCGGACATTGACGCTAGCACGTGGGAACGTCTGGGCCTAAACATGCGTGCGGCCCAAAGCAAGTTACACAGCATAATACAAACGAAGCATTTACGGTCTATAGCCTGGTATCAACCATCCGCTGCTCCGCCAAAGGTCGTAAGTTTTGACACCTCGGGATGACGGCACGCGATGACGAAATCAAGCCACGTGTGGCTCATTGCCAAGGCCGGGTTCAGCCACCAAGCAACGCACCTGCCGGTATAGGCGAGGCCGTCAACGGCCTCAGTGTTCGAGCCGGACAAACATGAACCGTCGAGTTTTCATTTCTGCTGTATAGCGAGTATCTTGGGCGATATCTGTATCAAAGGAGACGGAACAGACACTTTAGATGGAACCCTTCACTGCCACCTGAAAAGTGCAGCATCTCAGCCCTACAAGAGCCGCAGAAATAAAGGGTCCTAGTGTCAGGAACCCGACAGTGAATTGACCGCGGTAGCCCCATGACGACGCCAACACTCGGACCCCATGCCTGTACGCTACGCACTCAATTGACTCTCCCGTGCCTTTGCTTCGACCCCATTCTGTACAATACAAGAAGACATTGCTCCCTCTAGTTGTTCGCCCCATCAGGACTGTGTCGTCCAACCAAGACGTTTTCGGCAACCACGCCCGTTGCTAGTCACCCCGATAGGCGGAGAAAAAGACCCACATCCTCACTATTTATCTTTCCCAACACCACAAGCAGAGGCGGTCACCCAGCCAGAGAGACGTTCTGTGCACATGCGCATATCAGCCAATCGCCTTACCTCCCCGCGCCTTGCTGCACCCTCGTAATTTGGGCCCGATATCGATTGGAACGTCGAACGAGAGAGATCGCCACGCCTCGAACAGCCCCGCGCAGCTTCGCGCCAGACTTATATAACGATGCCCCGCATGCCGCGCTCGAACTCGAGCGTTGGGGTAAGCACAGCAGTTATGGCTTCACAAGAAGAGCCTATACAACCCACGTACCGAGGTTACGGCACAATCGCTCCCCAGAGACCTGCGCAACGCCAAAGACGTCACTCATGGCATACACGACCCTGCATGCAGGAAGCAGAGAACTTCCAGTTGTTGGTAAGTAAATCAGTACGTATGCGCTTACCATGTACTAACAAGTATGTAGCTTCGAAACTTCTTGGTCGAACTCAATTGCCGGATGGACTTCCTGGAAGACTATGGCCACCTCAAGTACGACGCCGGTGTCGAATACGCATACAACACCCTGCTTGCCGTTCGCGAATCCTGCTCGAAGATATCCGATGGCGCAATCGAGGCCGGACGACGACAGGCTTCCGTATTCGTCGAGACATTGGAGGGCCGTTACAAAGATGCGATGGAACGGAAAGAGACCCTAGGAGAGAAGGTCTTGGAAGGAATAGTGCTTATGGACAACTATCTGACCGAGTTTGAGACGCGCGCATACGCCATAAGAGACGGATCGATCGGTTCCTATGCACAGGAATTCTATGAGGAAGGTCGGAGAAAGATGGACGAGGGAATCGAGATCGCAAAGGGTGTTGTGGACGGTGGTCTAGACAAGGCACGACGCGCGCGTGAAACGATTGAACTCCGAGTTGAGCACGCCGTCCAACGGGCCTTAGAGCGAGCCAAAGCACACGGCCTGATACACTACGAGGATCTACCAGAGCCATGGCGAGTCAACCCACATATCCTCAAGGGCTACCGTTTTCAAGAAGGAAAGTGGGCTTGCGTTCGATCCATTTTCGGCCTCCACAACGAGCTAATCAATATCTGGACACATCTCCTCGGATTCATCATGGTTCTTGCCATTGCCTTCTACTTCTACCCTTCGAGTGCCAACTTCAGCATGTCGACCAAGGCCGACATCTTCATAGCGGCAGTTTTCTTCTTTGCGGCATGCAAATGCCTGGCTTGTTCGACCATTTGGCACACGATGAACAGCATATCACACCAAACATTGCTTGAACGCTTCGCCTGTGTAGATTACACTGGTATCTCTTTACTCGTCGCCGCATCTATCATGACGACTGAATACGCCGCATTCTACTGCGAACCCGTCTCCCGCTGGTCATACATGTGCATAACAGCACTTCTCGGCGTTGGCGGCGTTATTCTACCCTGGCATCCGACCTTCAATCGAGCGGACATGGCCTGGCTTCGCGTTCTCTTCTACTGCTCCCTCGCCCTGACTGGCTTCCTGCCCTTTGGCCAGCTCGCGTATACCCGTGGCGTCGCATGGGCACAGTACTTCTACGCGCCCGTCACTAAGAGTTTGCTCGTGTACGTTACCGGTGCATTGTTGTATGCGAGCAAGACGCCCGAACGCTTCTTTCCTGGCTTCTTCGATTACGTAGGCTGCTCCCACAACATCTGGCATGTTGCTGTGCTGGGAGGTATCATCTTCCACTACATGGCCATGCAGACTATGTTCACGCAGGCTCTTACTCGGGCCCAGACAAGCTGTTCCGTGTACTGAGAGCGCTGTTCTCTTCTACACCTTTATCCTTCACTGTTCTACATCTTCATCACTTTTCATCTTCGTTTGGAGCGTTCGGCATTGTTGAGCGAGTAGGGTGCTTTCGCATTGGGCAGGCGTCCGGTTCGTAGATGTCATGGATTGCTGGACAGAAAACCAGTGCTCGGCCGGTGGTAGCTGTGCTGAGCGCTGTGTTTGACGCTCATATAGAATGTCTGTAGCTGCGAGATCCTGCATTTTAAATTGTTCATACCAAGCTTTCACTCGTCGTACATGCAAATGAACCTAAACATCAAAAGGTTCCGGATTGCTTGTAAAACCACATGTGAGCTGATGATTCATTCTTTCTTTCGATGATTGTGGAAATACTTGTTGAGATAGCATCGACTGCTTGGTATGACCTGAACGCCTTTCGCTATGCATATAACCCATTTTGGCCCTATTCGCATTATCCTTGTCCCCAGCTTAATGGCTATCAGGCACGTCTGGCAACCTCTCGATAACGTATTTGCCCTTTGCAACGCTAACAATCGGCACACCAGGAATCTTCCTTATGCGCCTCTTGAGATCCCTATCGTTTGTCGCGACCAGGTAGATTCTGTGTTTCTGGACCCTGTCCACAATACAATCATCGGCGTAAGTGCCCTTGTGTTCGCACTTGAGGCGCTGCCATCTCTCGTCGCGAGCGATCCTGAGCGCAATACGGTATTTTGGGCCGAGTTTCTCGAGCTCAGCCATAACGCAGGTCGTGATAATTGGAGTGGCCTTGGCGTAGAGAAGATCCATGAGGGCCTTGTCGAGTTCGAGCTTGGCGTGCACCGTGTGAGAGAGGAAGTTGGTGTCCACGAGGACGGAGTAGGGCGGGCCGAGGGCAGTGTTGGCTTGGAAGAAGAGGGCCGAGGAGACTTGTGGGCTGTAAAGTGTCAGTCGTGCCTGCTCTTTACTCGAATCGAAATCCGAGATACATACATTTCTCGCTTTGCCTTGTTTTCATCCTCCTTCTTCTTTGCTTCTATCTCACCAGCCATTTGATTCTTCTTACTGCAGTATGATCAGCTCTTACGTCGCAAACAGCAGTGGGGCGCGTTGTCGCATACAGTCGAGCATCTCGTTGACCTGATAGTGTTAACAGAAGCTCATCTAGACATGACGCCACACATACCAACGATCCTCTTCGTCTGCGCAAACTTGCGCGTTCTCTTCGCGACACCCATGGTTGCACGCGGTCCTGGGACCCTCGTCGGCGAGCTTCAGTCGTCTATGAAGCTCCTTGTGTTTCGCTACGTTTCTAGCGATGTAGCGTTGGAGGGTGAAAGTAATGGCTCGCGCAGTCGTCAGGATCGCAGTCGTGTGGTGCTGGTGGATTGTTCGCAAACCACTTTTTGCTATCGATAAGGGCGGCAGCTTTTTGATGCCAAGAGAATGAGGCCGTCGGAGGGTCGAGGCGCCGATTGGTGGGCTTGACAGAGGAAAAGAGCTCGACGCTAAGCCCTAAGCACTCGAATCACGCAGGTCCCAGAATAGAAGCGACGTTCCTGGGTTGGGATCTGTCATCGTTGGCCCTGCATACCGATGTTTTTCCTGCATCCCTGAGCCAGACAACCAGTGCAGACGTCAACAGCCGTTTGCTTCCAGGCCTGGCACGCGGATTGTTCCATCATCGCGCAAAGCAACCTGCTTCTAATTATTGTCTCTTTCGATAAAATTCCTATCGCTAGTCTACATCGAATACGGCCAGACATCACGCGAACTGGGCGCTCAGACTACGCGTATTGCCAGCGGGTCCACGACTCCGCCCCTTGTTACCCTGACCCCGTCTTGCACTCCACCATCAGCCTTTCCTCTCGTTCCCCGTCACTCGTTTCGGCGCTTCTCTGTCCTATCGATATCACCTGCGATTGCGTCTTCCTCTCCTTGCTTTTCCTTCACCAATCGAGTCTTGAAATACGCCTGCTGGACTGCGAGCCTTGACCACGCCATCTCCTGAACCCACTCGGCCCCTTCCGCACACTGCCCATCGGCGACCCTGCCTCCGCACACACCTATACACAACAACCCACGATGCGACCCTTTGTGGGCCTCGCAGGCCTGCTGCTCGTTGTCGCTCCTACCGTACTCGCTCAAATCGAGAACGCACCCGACCTATCCACTGTCACGCAACCAGGAGGCGACGCAGCGACAAACACAGCCGAGACCTCCGCCGCCGAGACATCACAAGCAGCGACTTCAGAAGCTGCAACCACATCGCAAGTCGCCACCTCCGAGACCACCGAGGCCGCAACAACAGGAGATACGCCCTCTAGTACGGCTGCCCAGACAGGGTCTACGAGTGTGTTCAATCTTGTAGGTGCGCCAACACTAGCCGGTATCGGTATCCCGGATGTCAAAGTCCCAGACACAGCCGGTGCTGCCTTTATGCAAAAGTCCGATCTTCCAGATGGAACCGTCTTCATCTGCGTCGGTGCTATTCTCGCCTTCTTCGGTGCGGCGGTGTTGGCGTGGCGCGGTCTCGTTGCGTGGTCGTTGCATCGTTCTGTCAAGCGGGCGGCCATGGCTCAGAACATGGCTGATATCAAGGCCATGTCAGCAGTGCCTGGTAAGAAGCGGGGAATGTACAATGTGGTCGGAGCGAGTTCGACCATGTCTCTGGATCACCTAAACGCCGCCCCCATTGGCAAGTCGTCGAAAGCTTTCGCTGGTGCGCCTGCAGCACAGAAATCGGCATCGTCCTTGTTCTTCTCTCCAACTGCAGGTGGCGCCGCCGGTTTGCGGGATTCTGTAGCGGCCCGATCTTCTACCTATCTTCCTGCAGGATACTACGCATCTGGTAACGCAGCCCCTGCTGCTGGATCACCACAGATGCACATCGGAGGCCAGAACCCCAATAATCTTTCAGCGCTCTCCCTCTCCACCCCAGGAAACCGATTTAGCGCAAGATCCGGTATGTCACCACCGGAATCGCCATCACTGCCACCGTCACGCGGGGGATATGCTCGCGCGCCACCATCACGAGACGGCTTATCTGTATACAACCGTAACAGCGTTGCAACTCTCGGCCAACCCGGTAATACGAGAAGCATCTACGGTCAAGACGGCCACGCCGTAAGCCAGTTGTCGCTGAATGTACCTGGCGGCACAAATGTCCCTGGCGGCCGGACTCCCAGTGGTTATCTAGACGATCTGTTCGAGAACCACGGCAACGGATCAAGAGAACGATTCTAGTTGGATCTCGAACAGCAGCCTGCAAAACAGCGTACTGTGAGCGTGGGAAGTAGTACGCTCAAGAAGAGTCCGTTTGGCGTATACCGGTTCGCGTATGCGTCGGAGGTGGAACGCGCTAGAGCAGTGTCTGCAAGCACTTTGTCCATGATAGAAGATTATTACCGTGTGTGAGCAGGCGAGGAAAGAGGAAGTGAAAAAGAGAAAGAGGTTCTTGTTTATGTTTTGCTTGCATGCATGCGTGCGGGTCTCCTTGCTTTCGGGTTCACTGCTTGGCTTGTGATACCATCTCATGCAGGTTGCTTTTTCGTCACTTGCTCTGACTGTGGTACCGGCTTCGGGTTTGGGGGGACTGTCCGAGTCTGCCATCTTCAAGCGTTCTTATTACTATTGTTGTCACGTTTCTCTTATGATCGTAGGGAAGTATCCATGGATGCTCGTTAATCATGTTGGCGTTTAGTCGGCGTTTGAAAAGAGTGGGGGGAGTTTCTGTTCTTGTACGTTTAGCATGTGTGCGCATCGCAGGGTCGTTTGAGCTCGAGGTACTACCTGTAGATTTACATACTAGTCCCATAATGAACCGTTGTCAAAGAGCGAGTTGCGGACTTGTTGTTCCTTCGAACTTGGTGAAAGTGGTGGCAGGAAACTTGGAAGCGGCGTGTACTACAGTCGGTGCTGGTAGCGCTGGAGCTATGTACTCCGCACACTAATGCTTCTTTGATTAGCATGTAGGCCTGCGGTTGGTTTGCAGATGCACTCATGACGAGTAGAAAAGATCTCGGCGACACAGGGCATTTGGTGCGAGTGCTCAAAGCTCTTCGCATTGCGTGGCTCATATTGTAGTCTATCTCTGTATCTTACACGCACATGCATAGTCCAGTACCCTTTTTGTCTACCAACAACCAAACATAGATGCTAAACTTTTGTAACATTACAGCATATGCTATGTCGCACGCAAGCAGTTACCTTGCCTTCTTGGCCATGGCCTTGCGTTTCCTTGCCTCGCCGTTAAGGTTGGGCGCGGTGGCATTCTGGATGGCGGCCTCCTCCTCGGTTAGATTAGAGGTCTCAAGCAATGGAGCGTCAATCATCTCTTTCTTTCCAAGGACACGTCCGACTGACTGGTTGTAAGCAAACTTGGGCAGCTTGAACAGGAGGGTGTCGTAGATAGTAGGCTTAGGCTCCTCATCAGGCTGTATGCTATTAGCTTATTGAATGTCTCGAAGAGTTGAATGTACGTACGTCGACCAAGTATTCACCCTTCATACCATCCTCGTTCTCAATTTCCAAGAAAACATTACCAACGGAATCAACGACCAAGACTTTGCCGTTCTCAGCGACGATGCGCTTCTTGGCTCCTTGAGGACCAGAGATGACCTCTGCCTCAACGGGGGTGCTGATGCCATCGGCGCGGGCCTTTTTCACAGCTTGCGCCTTCTTTGGCTTGCGAGCGTCCTTCTCCATAGCGCGCCTCTCGCGACGGTTGCGTGGGGCTAGCTCCTCTGGTGTATCCTCGGCAGAATCCTTCTCGAACTGTTCGGCGTTGACAGGTGCGGCGGTATCGTCGACTCCAGGGATGCCCTGAAGACCACTCTCATCACCCCAGGCAGTCTTGCGTGCCTGGCGAATGTACCTCTCAGCAAACTCCCTGCGACGCTTCCATGACATCAACAGAGCGAAGTAGTGGAAGCCTCCACCGAACACAGCGAGTAGACCGACAATGACTGAGCCAAGGCCAGGACGGAAGCGCTCATAGTAGTAGCCAGAGCCCCTCCATGCTGGGAAGCCGTTCCTCAGGAAGTGGTCGTAGCGCTCGCGCTCGGCGCCCTTGAGCATCTTTCCAACGACGGAAAGACGCTGGTAGGCGGCGGTGACTTTCTTCAAGTGTGCCTCAATTTCCTTGTTGGTTGGCTTCTTCTTGTTGTTCTTCTTAGCATAGTTGGCAACAAAGACCTTGCGGGCCTTGTCCGGGTGAAGTTCGCGCGACTTCTTGCGGAGGGCTTGGGTCAATTGGTCTTGGGAGGCGCTGGGCTTGACACCGAGGAGATCGTAGAAGGTGACATTGGCGCCGTCTGCTTTGGCCACTTCGTCACGGATACGGAAGATTTCGTGGTCTGCCGGAAGCTGTCAGCAAGTAGCTCGTAGCTGGAGCTGGGGAAAGGCATGTGGGGAAGGCGCATATGTGGCCGCAAGCATGCAATGGAAGACGAGACACGACAGGAGAAGCTACGCACCCTCTTTGGTCCAGGCAGCGGCGAATGCTGCAAAGAGGCACAAGACCAATGCGAGCAACGCGTGAGATCTCATGGCTGGGGTTGATCCGGGAGGTTGCCTGGAAAGTTGGCGGGTCTTGGAGCAAAGTGATAGGGAGGCTGCAGGCCTGTGCAGCCAGATGTTCTAGTGCCGTGAGCCCGCTGTAGAGACGGAACGTGGCCCGATCGGTCTGACCGCTACAAATGAGACACAATGGTAGCAGGCTCAAGAGATAAAGTGAAGCCTTTCCCGGTGCTCTTGCTATCCGCTTTCACCCCAAGCTGCCGAGTTCGAAACAAAAAATGTGGCCTCTCCAGGACTTGCATGTGAGATTCGGCTAAGGGGATCAGGGCTGACGGTTTGAGCGCTCTGTGGCTGTGTTGTATGGGCAGGCACGACCCTGAACTACGGGATTCGCGGCAGGGGCCAACAAAAGTTCCAATACGGACAGCGACACGCAACCCTCTCCTCCCACACCACTTCCATTTCACCTACGCTCACTTCAGCCGCGTCAGCTTATTCACTCTCTCGCGAATCTTTCCCCCAACGTAAGGCAGCCATCCACTATAAACACTACAACCTCATTCCTGGCAAGAGGACACATCTCCAGCCTTCCCTCGATCTCTTCACCACTATCAGCGCCTGAACTGACCATGACTTCCCCCAAAGATCTTGAAGAACAACAGCAGACCCTCATTACCCCCGACCAACGCCAGCAAGCATCACCCGCCCCTCAACCCACAGCCAACACACCATCCGTCATGTCGCGCTTCAGCATTCCCATCGATGCCCTGACATCCAGGATGAACCTCGGTGGACGTTTCGACGGTCTGCGCAACACTTCCGTCTCCTCTCGGTTCGCCAATCTGCGACCCATCTCCGAGTTCTTCGACTTCAAGCGTGTTTCTAAGCCCGCCAACTTTAGCGAGGTACAGAGCAGGGTCAACTACAACTTGGGCTACTTTTCGAGCAACTATGCCGCTGTTTTCGTCATGCTCAGCATCTACAGTCTGCTCACCAACTTGATGCTTCTCTTCGTCATCTGCCTCGTAGTTGGTGGCATGTTCGGAATCGGCAAACTAGAGGGAAATGATCTCCAGCTCGGTAGCTGGCGTGCCACTACCTCTCAGCTGTACACTACGCTTTTCGTCATTGCAATTCCTCTTGGACTCTGGGCCTCGCCCTTTACTACAGTTCTCTGGCTGATTGGCGCAACTGGTGTCACAGTTGTGGGCCATGCTGCATTCATGGACAAGCCCATCGAGTCAGCTTTTTCCGAGGAGGCGGTCTAGGTGGTCGGCCGCGAACTCCTTACGCTATGCCCCCATGGGGAAGACCACCAGGGGGCTCGTCGGGTGTGGGGAGATATTACGAGGGAGTGCAAGACGACGTTCATAGGTTTCAAGAATTGGATAGTGAAGACGAGAAGGGTGGCGTTGAATTAAGTCAGGCGTTCCAACCGGCCCTAAATGGCAAGAGCATCAATCCAGATGAACTATACTTTAATGATATGGATATTAGAGCATGGGAGCGAAGGACATCGGCTTTGGGTGAGGCAGCATATCGGCCAGACCATCAGGATGGTTATCTTGACGATATGGGCAACAATGTCAATTCCGCTGAACACGAAGAAGTACTTTTCCGACGAGTACTCGATAAAATTCGGATAGCAAGAGCGGCAGGAAATACAGACGTATCGTTGAGCCCAGAGGAGCTAGACGCGTATCACTCAAGACTTTATGGCCCAAGATCGACCGCAGTTCGCCCTGAACCCCAGTCTCGACCAAGCAATACTTCTTCACACGATGCCGCAAGTATGATCAGCGTTGATACGACTAGCAAGCACGGCAGTTCCTCCAGGTCGAAGAAGAACCAGCAGCGGAGTTCCATCTTCGGGTCAAAGTCGAAGAAGGAGAAGTCTAGCAGTCACAAACGTACATCCACTACAGATAGTCGTGCATCGCCACCAGGCTTCGTTATACCTGGCCCGGACGGGCAGCCTATGTATGCACCCATCAATGCCTACCAGGGTAACCTGGATCGTGAACGGGAGCCTTTAAGTCCCGCGTCCCGTTCCGCATCTGATACTAGTCATCATACTCCCCCGCTTTCGCATGCCAGTTTCTCTCGGGACATGTTGGGCGCCTTTCCAGAATCCGAGTATGATTACCGCCCGGCTACCCCTCCACGGCAAGGTCGTTCTATATCCTCTCGGCAAGCTGCTTACGAGGCTGATCTTCCACAAGGCACACGCACAAGATCGTCTTCCATCCAGTCTGCTGGACTTGTGCCGTTTCCTGTGGAGCCTTATCAGTACCATACTTTCAGTCCGGCGTCTTCTTCCTCAACAGCTTCGCCTCAACCACAGTATACACGGAGAGTGAGTTCGGGTGTATCTGAGGCCAGCTATACATCGGTCCCGCGACGTGTTCCTGTTCCCGCTCCTGCGTCAGTGACGCTTCAGCGAGCAGCACCTGTGGCGGCCAGTCATGTTGGCCAGTCGGACCCAGCTTTGTCACCTTCAGCATCAAGTTCTGCTATTCCAGTTCAAGCTCAGGAAGCTACGAGAGCCAGTGGCGGTGGACATGGAGAAAGACGGCGGAAGAGTGGTAAAAGTAGGAAGAAAGGATAAAGCATCGTGCTCTAATCGATCATGACAGATATCCCTTGCTCTTGATTTTGGTAATTGTGATCCAATCGATTATTGCTTTCGTAGACATTGCATGAGATACAGGGCGTAAAAGACGGCCACGTATGTGGTGGACCCTTGGTTATTCTGTTGTACTGATACATATATGTATTGTTTTCTCCACTGATGTGTGTTGTTCGATAACAGTCATTCGATCTGACTCTCAATCCGTCAAACGTGGCTCGACCGGGGAAAAAGGGTATGCAGGAACGGGTCGGCCGACTTAATCCAGACCTTAGCACGTTTTGTTGAATGCCATATTGCGTGTGCTGCATCTGCATCTTGCAGCTGCATCTGGGTCTCGAACATTTCCAACGGTCTTGCAGGCACTTATGCCACAGGGGTGCGCGCACAAACGACCGTTGCACAAGGAGAATTCTGTCCGCAACCATGTCAAGAATCTCGGAGCAGTATCAGATATCAATCGATATTGATGTAAGAAATTCAACGTCCATTTGCGTAGCATCCTTCTCGCGTAAAGACGAATAACCTACGTGATTTTCATGGTTCACGCACATCATCGTGCACTGCACAAGTGCCATCTGGGTCGGCATAAATCGAGGTGGCGGTACCTGCAGGGCTACGCAGTCCGCCCAACCACCAAAGAGCGGTCTGGTAGCTGCGACGATCACTCCTCTCAGCTCCACAAGTTCGCGCACATCTTTAAGCTGGCCAAAGTTCCTTCCTTCACCAGCAAGCCCGCCGCATTCCCCAACCGTGCCATATTTTGTGGTCTTTCTACCCGTTGACGTGTTCCCTACTAGTCATTTCTATATTCTGTTTCGCGCACGGTGGCCAGTGTTGTCATAGCAGTTTGAGAGTTGGGTTGCGCGCTCCGATCTAGTTGATTGGTAGGGCGTCATCAGGCAACGCAGGGCAAGGAAGCAGGGAAAACCTCTGTAAATGAGGCGAAGAGGAGGCGATTGAAGCCCAAGAGACCCACTCCCTTCACCGGACTTTTGTTGCGACAGCTCTTCTAGACCCTGGACGTCGTTGCGCTGGCACAAGACTCACAGTCATAGTCATTGTTGTCGACAAACCTCATCCACACGCAAATACCATATCAACGTACTTTGCGCTGAATGCGCTGGGCGTCCAAGTACACATTACACCATCGCATCCCGACATCTGTCGTTCGCGCACATACATCGCGATCAACAAACAACCCCAGGGGATCGTCAATACCACTTACAGCCTCACTCCTCCCAAAACCAACTCTACTCATATCATCTTCCGACGCCACACAAACAAACACCATGGGTAGCAGTTGGAACCCCTTTTCCACGGGCTCGCCCTCACGACGCTCATCATCCTACCGCCCCGGCTACGCTTCCTCGTCCTACTCTTCATCATCGCGCCACCACAGCTCAACATCGCGGTACAAGCGCTCACCCCGCGACTCGTACATGCAACACCTCTACAAAAAACTACAACATTTTCTCCGAGAAATCTGGCGCTACGCTCAACGCCATCCCTACAAAGTCTTCTTCATGGTCATCATGCCGCTCGTCTCTGGCGGTGTCCTCCATAAACTTGCTCGCCAGTTCGGTGTCAACCTACCCGAGATGGGTGGACAGGGAGCAAGAGGCGGGTACTCGGGCTCCGGTCACCACAGCAGCAGTGGAGGTGCCAGTGGCGGCTACTATGGTAGTCAGGGATATGGCATGGAAAGCAGCCGAAGCGGCCCGAGTAATGGTGGCGGAGGCATGATGGCGGGACTTGGCAATATCGACATGCAGAGTGTAGCAGGCGGAATCGGTGGGCTGGCTAACTTGGCGAGTATGGCAAGCAAGTTCATGTAAAGCGGAAGGGAGGCTGACGCCTCTTTCTTCTAGGAACGGTTGAGAATATCTTTACTATCACGAGGGTCGTGGGGAATCTCACAGGGAGTAGGAATGATTGGTGACATGAGGAGATGAGGAAGAGGTGGGATCTTGGTTGTCACACCTGGTAAAAGGCGGCATTTTTGTTTTGTTGTGGCACGACGTTACGACAGCATGAGGAGAAGCGTGTGTTGGCATTCCCACCACGCTTTCTCCTCTTTTTATCTTGGGCCTTTCATGTTATTTATTAGAGATATCCCTCCTTTGCGTAGGCTTAGACCTACATGGCGTTCAGATGCAGATACAAACATACTTTCTTCATAGGTCTCTATTCACTTTATAAGCATGAGAATCAGTGACAACACGAAGTTTATGTGTCATAAATAGTTCTCGTTTTAAGCAAAAGGTGAAAAGTTACCAAAGAAACTCTCAAGGATATCGTCAGTCATACAGCCCATGTAAACCCATCGCTTCATGCCTCCCCTTTTCTTGATGCCCCATCAACCAGACACGACATTAGCAAAAACCTTAGCCGCGAGCCCGCTCAGCAACCTCGCCTTGTCTGCCTGCGGCATCTCCTGGAAAACCGCATAAACACTCTTCCCCTTTGTATCTCTTACGGCTCCTAGCCTGTTTCCAGCAACAGCGCCAGCGACCATGCCAGGGAAGTTTGCTACAATAAAACCCATGGCGCCTCCACTCAGACCACCCACAATACTCCAGAACTTGCCCGTAGGATGCGCATCCTGATCTGCCATGCCCTCTTCCCGTAACATCTCCTCAAAGATACCGCCAAACTGCTCTTCAGAGAAGCGGTTGTGCGATTCTTCTGTGTTGCCGGCTGGAGCGCTGCCGAAGCCGAATGCGGACCACGGGAAGCCTTGGGCAAAACCTGCGCCTGCGCCTGCATTGTTGGGAATTTCCTCGTCAAACTCCTCGTCTGGTGTTGCGGTGCTGCCTGTGAAGCTATTGTAGGTACGTGCAGCGTCATAGTCGCGGCGTCGCGTGGGGTCCGATAACGTGTAGTAGGCGTCGTTGATTTGCTGGAAGCGCTTCGTACGACTCGCGCGCTCAGGAGAATCAGATGGAACACGATCGGGGTGGTGTTTTAGCGCTGCCCTGTGGAGTATTTTAGGGTTTGTGCAAAGAAGTTTGTAAGGAGGGGTGAGGTGCACTTCTTGTAGGCATCACGGATTTGTTGCTGAGTCGCCTTTGAGTCGACTTCTAGAACCTTGTCTGTGGTATTGTATGAGCTTGGAACCAAGGGCCGCGAAGCTATGCGCGCCTACAATAGTCTGCTGGAGGAGCTGCTCGAAGTTAGTTGAAGTTAGATTACCAGGCTGCTATGTATCTCACCCATGGTGCTGGCTGATCTGGAAGGCTTGATATGTTGCTTGAAGAGCTATTATGGTCGAATTGAGGACTGAGTAGGTGACTAAATCAAGAAGCAAGATTTGGACAAGTGAGGAGGCAGGTTGATACGAAGAGTGGTGGGTGGTTCAGGGTCAGGTACGCGGCTCAGAGCAATGACGTAGACGCGAGAGGTCTAGCCACAGTGGCTTCACGTTTGCACGTGAACACAGCTTATCTGTGTGCCCCAAAACATTTGAATTTCGACAGCCATACATGGCTTGTCGCCAAGTTCTGGATTGTAATGCCCCGGGTCCAGACGTCGGATAGATTGAAAGTACATACGCAGTAAGAAAATTGAGCCAACTCTTGCAACGAGTGAAAGCAGAGCATACAAGTCGACTTGCTTAGGTTTGAGCCAGTGCAGATTTCAATTCGTAAAGGTGTAGAATGAGATAATAATTAATGTAAAGGTGATGCAGCGCACCTCCTTGCTAGGTATCATACAGCAAACCTTACCTACACTCTCGTCGGTCTTACTACCACTACCTACTCTTCTTTCTGATATCCAATACCACACTTCCTTACAAACCAAATGTATCAACAAAGAAGAATTGCTTTAGCCAGTTGCGCACATCTCAAAATATTATGCGTTGGGGTTCTGCCCGTCTACCGCCTGAAGCTCGCACTCAAGCCCGAGAAAGCGTCAGGCGAGTGCCGTCCACCCATCAAACCCGCAAAGTCCACGCTCTCGTTGCTGACATGCCTAATGCCAGGTGTTTGTGCAGCGGATAGTGCTTGCCCTTGTGGCGCACCAGACATACCACCAAACGGATTTGAGCGCCCGGGTGCTTGCGCAACAGGAGTTGAAGCTTGCACAGCTGTGGGTTGAGCTTGTTGCTGTGGCGCTTGCTGGGTAGTCTGTTGAGGTTGATTGTACAGCGAGAGGATTGAAGCGTTCTTGTCGAAGGGATTAGAGCTTTGTTGTTGATATAGCTGCTGCTGGTTCTGGAAACTTTGTTGCTGAGCTTGGTAGTTTTGAGTTGGATCCTGTGTTTGATAGGTCGATTGTTGGGGTTGCCAAGGATTCGCCGTCTGAGGAGTTGAAGCCTGGCTGTACTGCTGCTGCTGCTGCTGTTGTTGTTGCTGCTGCTGTTGTTGCTGTTGTTGTGACCAAGGATTAGGCATCTGCTGCTGCGAAGAAGCTATCTGTGATTGAGATGACTGCTGCTGCTGCGACCAAGGATTAGGCATTTGCTGCTGTGGTGGAGCCGACTGTGGGTGAGCAGACTGCGGTTGAGACTGCTGTTGCTGCTGGAATGTTGACTGCCCGAATGGATTTGAGCTTGCAAGATTGGTCGGGGTAAACATTTGGCTTTGCGAAGATCTCAAGAAGGGGTTCCCGGGACTTGAGGGGTCGGACATGGATTGGTACTGCGGCTGTTGCGGTGCAAAGAAAGCACTGTATTGTTCAGGTATTTGCGGCATCGGCGGTGGAGTGAAGGATTGGTTGTAGGGGTTCGTTTGAGGGAAGGATGAAGGTTGGGATTCAGCTCCTCCTGTTCGATTCGGGAACAGAGGTTGTGGAGGCTGTGGGTTTGAAATTTGCATACCCTGAAAGGATTGTTCTAGGTTTTGCTGTTGTTGATTCCAAGGGTTTTGCTGATAGCCGTAGTTTTGCTGCGATTGTTGCTGAGGGGCCTGTTGCTGAACATATCCTTGGGAGGATTGTTGCAGGAATGGGTTATAGGAGTTGGACGAGTAGGCCTGCTGTGCTGCCGGCCCCCCATAGGAGGTCTGCTGGGTTTGAAGCGGAGCAAGTTGTGGCTGCTGCTGAGGCTGAGTAGGCGCATCTAGCGCGTCGAAAGGGTTCGTAGACGATGTCGTAGCAGGTGCGCTGTTCAGATTATCGAATGAAATGCCATTGGACATCGGTTGCGAAGCTGGTGTCGGAGTGCTTCCTCTCGACCTGCCAGGGTCCTGTTCGCCCAACCTGATTAAAGCCTCGACTGCCCTGTCCAAGTTACCATTCAGTCCCTTCAGTACCGTAGAATTGCGCTTGTCGTCCGGGAAGCCCATGTCCCGAAGCTGCGCCAGCTTGGAATCCATGCCATCGCCCGAAGTATGTATGTTGGAACCGAAGACCCTGGAAGGCTTGTTGATGCGTGGAGGTGATTGGTCTTGTTGACTGAAGCCACTTAGACCTGGGGACAGTGGAGGCGTCAGATTCCGCGGTGATGTCGCCGCCTTTCGTAGCCCAAAGCCAAAGCGACCAGTCGGCTTGGGTGGTAAGGGCGGTGGTCGGTCCTCAGAACTCGTACTGCCCGTGTTCTGTCGCGTGCCCGGCCGCGAAGCGTCCAAGTATATTCTCTGCTCGTATTTTGCCCGTATGTATCTCTCCATAGCACTGTCTACCTCGTCGATGTCGATGGGTATGGAGGGCTTGACGTTGCGCGGATTGTATGTCTTATTCGATTCGAGGTTACCAATGCGCTTCATATTCTAACCAGGCATTAGCATCCGGACTTGAGCCGCAGAAGTCTGACGGTTCTTACGTCTACTTGCGCATTGTCCCACTTATCCATACTCAGAGACTTGACCTTGGAGATGTGCGTCCCCAGCTTGCGATGCAGGGCTGCGCATCGCATGCACAGAAAGATGCCGAGCTACAGCAAACGTCAGTATTGTGTTGGCGGTCGACGGACAATAGGGTTTAAGAGGTATATAGCTTCGCGTTGTTGTATGGGGAGACTTACACTCCAGCTCGCCCATCCTGTGTGATGTGGTTAGCATTGGGCCTCCCGGACAGCATGCGCCTGCACAACTTACCTGGATTCCGCGCACCGCAGTCGGCACAAGTTCCGTTGCCTGGAACTGTCTTGATGAGTTCCTGTAACGTACGCTCATTACGCGCTTGCTGGCGCTTGTTCAGGGCCGACGCCATCTTGTCTGGAAGGAGGAAGCGGTTCGGGCGGAGGTCGAAGATCGGGGCGCGGCAGAACGTGCACGAGAGCAATACGCGGGGGAAAGGGGGCTTGAGAGACGGCAAGAGGGCGCGTATGTAAGATTACCCAAGAAAGAATAATTCCATAGCAAAGCAAAACATGAGCACAGAAAGGGGACTTGGTACGGCCCTTAGTTGACACACGCGATGACGAGTAATGCATCCGTTCCACATTCACACACATGGCAACCCGCAGAAGCTCCAGAACCCTGCGTTTTTGGGCTATATACGGCACCATGCCCCTGTCTGAGCTTCGAACATTCCACCCGAAAGTCCATCGTCGTCCTGCCAGCCTATCGAGATGGGACAGCTTACGACAGCGCATGAGCAGCAGGCGCGCTCAGTGGCGCGACTCAGAGACGCTGCCGATCTGGTTTTCGAAGGGCCGAAGCCATCTTCTTTCGTTGCCGGTCGGTCGGCCAGCCGGTCGTAAGGCACATAACGGCTGGGTGGTGTTGCAGTCGTCGTCGTCGGCGTCGTCGCTGCTTCACAGTCCGAGAAAACAACTCGTCTCACAAGTTCAGGTCCAAGCTAGCAATGTTTTTCTTGGAACACAGCGAAAAAAGCTAGTATGTATGGTCACGCAGGTGGCTTCAAGCAACATAGAAATCGAAGCAAAAAGCCTAAAAGTGCCAGGTATTACTCTAGTGACGCAAATATGACAACTATAGAGATGATGAGCTCAGTATAGCCGTTGATTAATCGTCCATTTTTATGATTGTGTGTAAGGAAGAGAAAGCGTGCCCGAGCTGCGACGAGAATTTCAGGTGCGCGGTGCCAAGCGCTGCTGACAAAGAGGGGTCCGAGCGTGATAATTTTCCATCAAAACCCAAGCTCCAGCTCGCTCTGCTGCTCACCAACAACCTCGCGATGTACAGGTTGCGGCACGTGCTCCTACGCAGAACGATCAATGTTTGTCGTTCTTCGAGTCGTCGCACATGTACATGTTGTATGCTACTACCCCACTATTGCCTGCTCCCGGGTTCAGCTCTCTATGGCCTGGAAGCAACTTTTCTCTCTGTGGGAGACTGAAATTGGTTTTTAGCAGAGCCGTGTCTTCTCCACCCTACCCATGAACATCTCGTGGATGTGTAGGACTATAATTGGACATACATCTTTCTCCAGCTTACAAGCCGGTGTGTACTGCTGTCGTGTCAATCCGAGTCCCCGTGTGTCCACAGCACGTTGCCTATGGTTCGTACAGGTGCCAGTGCAGTATGTTGAGGCCATGAGAGGTAGTAGGTCGAGCTCAAGGCATCATCACAGAAACAAGGATGCAGAACGAGAGATCAAGCCAGCTACCTCACTTCGGTCAATGCATTCAATAATACATAAGCACGTTGCTGCGCTTGCAGCTCAAGTGTCAGGGACACCCCAGCTCATAGATGCGCCTTCGAAACCTCATCATCTCGGAATCGCTTTGGCCAAATACCTTGCTTTCCTGGCGACAGTATACCATTAGGATCAACAGCGTCTTTGATCGTCTCAACAAATCTTCGATACGCATGGTCATTGAAATCGTACAGCGAAGCGACCCGATCTGAATCAAAATTAGTGGCTGTAGACAGGCAGTCATGCCCCGAGAAAACCAATGCTTACCCATGGTGTTCACATGGCTACGATACTTGCTGTATCCTCTTTTCTTTCCCGCCTCAAACAAGTTGTCAAAGATGTTCTGTACGGCTTTCCGATGCGTCGCGTTTGTCTTGTCAAAGGTAAACATGTTGACGAAGATGACTATATACATACATTAACGTCAGTATGTGTCGTCATCTACCATTTGAAAGTAAGGACTTACCGTGTCGCTCGTGCATGAAGAAGTCGCAGAACAAATCAAAGTTGTCAGCTTCGCAGATCTTCTTCGCCGTCTTGACCCAGCTCAGGATCTCCTTGCCTTTGGAAGGAATGATGGGACTGTAGTCGTAATGCGCGCCGATACCGCCCCCAGACTTGGGTAGGCGGAACTTCACCATGGGAAGCGACCAGAGAGTCGGTATACCAACGAAGAAGCCACCATCCATTTCGGGAACGGATGCAGGATCCAACGTCTCTCCATCCGGCGCAGAGAATATCTTACCCATCAACCGACCTTTCGGCGCCTTCTTCTCGATGATCTTCTTCAACTGATCGAAATGCGCTTGCACAACATCTCTCGCGCCATATAAACCAAACTTGGCGTTCCAGTAGCCCAGGTCGAACTGCTTCTGCAGCTCTTTCACTCTCCAGTCTGGTATTGAAGTATTATGCGGCCAAAAGTCTTCTCGTGGACCCATCATGCCTAGCCACTCCGTTACGTTCGATACGTAGACTGTGTTTGGAAGCAGGCCGTCACGTCGCAGTGGCCCAAATACGTCGACAATCGTCTCCACGTCGTCGAAGTCAGGCATGTCAAATGAGCAGGACATGAAGGCTTGGGGTGCGGGTGTAAGCCAGATGCCGAGTTTAGTTACGATACCAAGGTTGGACTGTAGGAACAAGCCCTCGATGCTAGGTCCAAATGTGAACTTTGAGAGATGCGCAGATGGTGAGTTGGAAACGGCGAATTGTCCTGTTCGTACGAGTTCACCATTCGCCAGCATAGCTTCGACCCCACAAATATGCTGATGATGTGTTGCTGTGGGCGTGAAGCCTGTACCTCGATCAAGCGTGTTCCCGACAACGGAACCCCATCCCAAGGATGGTACCGAAGGCCAAACATTGAGCTTGTTCTTAACGCAGTAATCGTAGAGTTCGGTAAAGGTAACCCCAGGTTCGACGACAGCGTAAGCATATTCAGCGCTTACTTCGATGATTTTGTCCATGCGATGAAGATCGAGAGCTATAGAGCCAGTCACGCGGGGAGCTGGTCCACCATATCTATCCGATTGTCAGACGATCGACTGAGATGTGTGAAGGAGTCTGCTAACCCAAGGTTTTTGCCTCTTGAAAATGTCCACACTGGTATGGCGAATTCATTCGAGATCTTCAGCACTTCTCTCAATTCCTCTACATTCTTGGGTCGGACGGCTGCGCTGGGCATTCTACGCGTCCCCTCCGCCTCATGCAACTCATACGGGTCGATATACTCTGTCAAGGCATCACCTTGGTATACCTGCGCATCGCCAACAATACTTTTATATCTCTTGATCGCTGTATCGAATGCGTCTCTGTCAATACCAGGCGGTAGTACCGACTTTAGCGGAACGGTTACAGAGTCCTTGAACAGGTTGTAATGTGTTGATTGGTACTCCGGATTGATGTAAGCTGGTAATGGTGTCATTGTAAACGATGTCAGATGTGTGTTGCGAGAAGGCGAGACGTATCTCTATGACAAGCCGTTAATATATTCTGCAGGAACAGACCTCTTCGGTTCGGTGAATACATGGGTGCCGACGCTAGTTACATGTGTGAAGGCGTCTTTCCCCACATTGCGGAGAAGGACCCCACATCTACACTTCTCCAACGTTTCGGCCCTAATCCTGCCGCTACTCCTCTCAATAGCACTCTGAAGCCTTGAAGACCGGTACGTGTTCTACGATGTGTGTAATGAGAGTAATATAGGGAATGATAACGAGTGCGTTCGCACAGTCCGTGCCTTGCGCATACAGAGTGCTACATGCACGTATTGGTTGCAATAGTGAAAGTCTTCGGGTTTTACTTGTCTGATTTTCAGGATAGTCGTGGTAGACAATTTGTGGAATGGTTCATGGACAGGTTCGTTGCAGACTGGAGGAAGACCGGCCGGGTTAACGCACCAACCGACCAGCGATCCGCCACCTGCATGGTACAATCGATCAACAATGCTCAACGTTCGTAATGCTGCTGGCAGTCGATAGGATTCGATGAAGGACCACTCGTACCATTCTGGGCACTATAATGCTATACTTTCGGGACACGACATAGGTGGCACTGCCTGATTTTCACCACGTCAATCCTGTCTTCCTTTCCCACGTCGTCACGACAGGCGTGGCCTTTAGCTCTGGAAACTTGTCTCTATGTGAGAAGGCTAAGCGGCGAAGGACGCGTTCGAGTAAAGCACGTCGTGTCATCTCTGGAAGTCTGGTTCTGTTGCAAAGACTATCAATCTGCAAGCAGTCGATGTTGGCGGCTCCAACTGATGCCTAGTTCCACGTCAGTGCCGCTCTGCTTACCGACTCAGAAAGAAACACCCACTTCACAAATACTTCGCGTCTGGAGAGCTTGTAAGATGCTCTCCCACATCTCAGATCCACTCAGTCTGGCCACAGAGGACCAGGAGCCGAAGAGTATGTTAAGGACAGCTGGAATAGACTATATGGTTGAGTTAGTTTCTATAGCTAGTGAAGCTTATAGGAAACCATACTGGAACAGAGTGAGCGAAAACGAAGGGCATAGCCTTCAGTTCAGGGAAGGCACTCGGCTCCGCGATGACCCACGGAATGAGTGCCGATTCGATATCCTTCTTGATTCTCATGAAGCCATAGTGTTGTCCAGGTTTGGGGAAGGCATGAGCGATGGCATTTTCGAGCTCGGACGTTGTGCGAGTCTTGTTCATGCCTCCTAAACCACTCACAACGATACGCTGCGGTGGGTTAGCTGTAATTACGACGATTGGATGGCGGCAATCTACCTCTGCTGAAATGCGATGTTTGAGATTACTCATGATCGTTTGCGTGATTCTGGTGGAATCGTTCATACATTCGGTTGCGGTCAGGCTGTCCGATCCCCATAGCAGGCTCAGTACTGGCATACCGAAGGTCTAAGAATACTTAGCACTAGAATTGGACTGATGTGGCACTGACGTACACTGTCAATGTTCCCACTGCTCTGTAGATCCTGAACTCTCTGCCTTTCTGCTACCTCTACTCTGGGGAGTGGCCTGTCGAGCTCACATTCTTCCGTAGACAGATGACGAAAGGCCTTCGTTGCTTCTGCGATGTGGTTGATCTGGGAGTTCTCTCCTACTTTGACTGATCCTTCGGCGGTCTCGCATTTGACGAAAGCCTCCTCATAGTCGTTCTCAACATGGATTGCGCGCCCTCTCAATCTACCAGATTCACCTGGTTTCGTTTTCTTATCGATTCTAGCCTTCATACGCAAGTCGACTGGCGCTGGTGTGGCACGAGAGAGTTGCCGGTCAACGCTCGAAGCAGCAACATCTTGTCGCGTTAGCATCTCACGGTCGCCGCTGAGAAGCTTCTGTAAGCTCTCCACCCACTTCTCAAACTCATCCGGAGGCATAACATCGAGTAAGGACTGCATCTCACACCGAAGCTCTTTCCTTGACGCTTGCGACCCAAGTTTTCGTTTAGCGATAGGCAATGCATGATAGGCAAACAGACTGCTTGTGCGTGGAAAAGCATCAGCCACATCGTCATCCGCGAGCTGTGTCCCATCAACGTTCCACTGCCACTTGGAAGAGATCTTTTTGTCCTTGTTTGTCGAGACGCGCCGTTCAGTCGGAAGTGCTGCTGAATAGAAGTCCATGTTAGCGTTTTTGGGGGTATCATCTTTCACCGGAGTGCGCCTACGCTTTGTCTTCTTAGTTCGTCTCCCGCGCTTTCTCTTTTTCTCAGATGTTGGAGACTCAACATCGGAAACGTTAATGTTGCCCATATCTTCATCCCTACCGACCATTTCTTGTAGATCCCCAATTTTATTCAACCAATCCGTCGGGTTTTCTGAAGCTTTTGCTTTAAGTTGGAGTAGACTCGCAATCATATGTCCCAGAATATCACCTCCGAGGCCACTCTCATGCAGCCTTGCACTTGCTACTATTGTAGCTTGCACCATCGTTTCGACCTTAGTAACCGTGTCAAGGTGCTCAGCAAGCAGCGATGCTACACGCCGTGTCATCTCAGTATGGAAGATCTCTGTCATCTTTCGTATGTTATCTTCTGGAGCCATCTCTTCTCGCATGTGCTGCTCCAGGATTTGTGACCCAAGCTGATCTAGAATGCCTTCAGGGAAGCAAATCCGGACTAGCCCCTGTACTGCGCTTTTGAACAACTCATTATCAAGGTCTGTTGCAGACGAGATGACCTTGACACGAAACAACCAGTCTTCTCCGGTGGGCAGGCTGGTCGATCGATCATGGTTCTGGGTCGTATATGTAACCTGGACGGATCCAGCGCGTGACTGGACATCACGCTCGGCGTGTTGGACGCGGTGCGAGGTGCTGGCGGAGGGCACGCGCGCGCGTTTCGTAGCTGTACCGCGAGCTGGAGATTGCGAACTCTGTAAGTCATCAGCTCTATCGCGATGTAGTTGTAGCTGCGTCTTCGCGGCTATCCGTTTGCGACAGGCTGATGCAGTCCCATCGGCACTTACCCGTCGCTTCTTCATTCCACTCGCCATGTTGTCAGCTTTGGAGAGGTTATAAGGTGAAACTGGTGGCAAATGCAGTGTGAACCTATAAATAGTGGGGTGGACTGAACATGTGGCAGTCGCGACTGCGGCGGAGTTGAGGGAAAGAGAGAAGACAAACGCTCGCCAGGGCAACGCGTCTTGTTTCCATCAACCTGCAAGGTCGCAATTTTTTTTTTGTGAAATTCAGAGCGAGATTAAGAAGGCAACACTCGAGATCTCAGATGCGTCGCAAACACAGTCGTAGATTCATCTCGTACCCTTTGTAAGGTGTTCCCTCAATAAGTCTATGCCTCATACGACAATACCGATACCTATGGAGCCTGCAACACGACATCGAATTCAAAAGGTTGACACAGTAGACTGTACTCATCCAGCGTCCTCGGTCCGCAGCTTCCGCTGCCCAGTCCATGATGTTCCGCGTCTAACCTAAGCACAACCTCCTCCCTCTTCTTCTTCCTCAGTTCATGCGGATGATCCGCGGCCGCAACATCCTTCATCCTGTAATGACTGACTTGAAAGTCAAACAGCTTCCTTTGTTCACTCTTCTGGTCCGCAAACTGAGCGAGCAGTCCTGCGCCGCTACCGTTTGTGAGGCTGAGATAACGGGTGTCTGTATGGTTTGATGATTCTTGAGGCACCTCGTAATCGACCCAGAGTTCGTCGACGCTGGATGCTGTGTACTTGCCCACAGGTTGTGAGAGCTTGCTATCGCGGTAGGTCTCGCCGAAGCCGCGGCCAAACCATTCGACTCGTTGGAATTGCTTAGGAAGCTCCATAACGAGACCGATGCGTGGAAGGGTCCGAGGTAGGTTCTCACCCTTTGGTGTACCGACAACATGGACAGACAGAGTATTGTTGGCGCTGAAAGTGTACGTAAGAACGCAGTCGACAGACCAAGAGAGAACTGGAGGTGCGACACGTTGATGCACGGTAACCTTGAGGGTCTCTGAGTCAGACTGTGACCATTCGACCTTGCGAGTCAATGGTTTCGCGTGATGCAGTTGCTTGTCTTTCCAATCCCAACCGTCTTGTGGGATATCGTTGTCGGTAGGTGCGCGGAAGATGTCAATTTCTGGTGCCTTGGAGAGAAGCTCGGTAGAACCTTGTATCCAGGATGTGAGGCTACCATGAAGAGTGTTGAACTCCCAAATGGCTTGATCCGCCGTGATCTTGAGGGTGTTCCTGGATGGTTTCTCAACAGTGATTTGCTTGCCCGATGACTGAGGTCGCTTCAATGGCGTTGCTGGTGTGATGGATATCTGTGCTGTCGCGATCTCGAAACCTGCCTTGAGATATGACGTAGCCTCCTTCAGTTGAAACGAGATGCTGAGCAGGGTCTCCTCTCCTGAACCTTCAATCTTTGGAAGCTGTACATCAAAGGTCTGACCAGGTGAGATACCAGAAGGAACCTCTAGGCTCCCTGATACACTTCCACTTCCAGATGCGGAAGTTGATGTGTACTGGCAGCTCAAGTGATTGAGTGTGATGAAGTCGTACCGGTTAATGAACGTAGCCTTTGAATCGGTCGATTCCAGAAGCTGCACAGGTTCGATAGCTTTTTTGTACTCGATCAAGCCTGCATTGGGGGAATGGTCGGAGTTGACAAGACCGTCCATAACGAATGTTGCATCGTGAACTTCTTCACCAAAATCACCGCCGTAGGCATAGAACTCCTCACCAGTTTGCTTGTCCTTGGTAAGAAGACCGTGATTCGCCCACTCCCATGCGAAACCTCCCTGAAGGGTTGGGTATTTGTAGAAAGCGTCGATGTATTCCTTGATATTACCAGGACCGTTACCCATGGCGTGGATCTAATATAGTCAGTCATAGCACTGGAGTTCGACGGAGTATACCTTACATATTCGCAAAGAACCAATGGCTTCTTCTTGCTCTTGTCTTCACCGAACTTGATAATCTCGTCGATTGGGGGATACATCCTGGAGTACATGTCCATAGTATCCGCGTAGATGTCTGCTTCGTAGTGAATAGGCCGGCTGTCGTCGTACTTTTTGATGTGCTCGTACATGGCCACGAAGTTACGTCCCATGAAAGCTTCATTGCCGAGACTCCATATGATGACAGACGGATGCATCTGATCTCTCTTGATGAGTGCTTCTGCACGGTCCACGTACGCATGCGTCCAGGCTGGGTTGTCGGTTGTCCATTCCGCGGCCTTTGACCTAGTCAGAAGCTGGCGCTCACGGAAAGGAAGGTTGCGCTCTTCTTTTGACAAAGCAGCATCGGCGATACTTTCAAAGCCGTGGCACTCTAAATCAGCTTCGTCAATCACCCAAAAGCCCATCTCGTCTGCAAGATCGTATAGTCGTGGGTCGTTGAGTTGATGGGAGGTGCGGATGGCGTTGATGTTGTGACGCTTCATGATCAGAAGGTCCTCTTTCATGAATTCATATGGCACAGCACGACCAAAAGTGGGGTGGTGTTCGTGACGGTTGACCCCGCGGAAAACGACTCTCTTACCATTGACTTTGATTAAGCCGTCTTTCATCTCAACTTGTCTGAAGCCGATACGCTGGGCGATAACTTGATCACCGGTAGAGACCACGAGGTGGTACAGGTTGGGCGATTCAGCAGTCCACTTTAGAGGGTCCTTTACTTGGATGCTGAGTTCAGTTACGCCATCACTCTTGATGTCTGCATCTGACGAAGCAATTTCTTGCTTCTTCTCATCCAGGAGTTTCGCTGTGAGCTTGCCAGATCCGGTCGCGCTGACCTTGATCTTCAGTTCCGCGTCGGTGTAGGATGAATCCAAGATCGTCTGAGCAAAGACATTTTCGATGCGCGACGCCTTGGGGAAACCCACCAAGAAGACGTCACGAAATCTGTAGTTGTGAGTTTATGATTTGTCTTAAACAGACTTTACTTACATGCCACTCAGCCACCACTGGTCTTGATCTTCAATATAAGTTCCGTCGCAATGTTGATACACTCTGACGGCCAGGGTGTTCTCGGCATTAAGATCAACAACCGAGGTAATATCGAACTCATCTGGGTTTCTGCTGCCCTGAGAATATCCGACTTCCTTTCCGTTTACCCATACATGGAAAGCAGCATCAACGCCCTCAAACCTGAGTCGAAGTTGACCGTCCTGGAGTTGTTTCGGAACCTCAAACTTACGTATGTACGATCCAGTCTCGTTCTCAGTAAAAGGAACGTTTGGAGGATCGACTGGGATGTGATAAATGACGTTCGTATACTGGGGGCCTTTGCCGAATCCCTGTAACTGCCACATGCCTGGTACAGCAATGTCGCTCCATGACGATGTGTCGAACGAAGTCGACTCAAAGCCTTCAGGAGCTTCAAAGGGTGAAAATGAATGCTGGAACTTCCACGTGCCGGAGAGGCTATGTGTCGTAGACTTGTTCACATCGGAACCAAGTGCGTCAGCCTCGGACTTGTAGTTGTGGAAGTATGCGCGTGCAGGCAGCGTATTCTTGTGAAGGATGTCAAGATTGTTCCAGTCCGGAACGCTTGCTGGGTGTTGACCTGAAGCCATGATGGATGAGTTGAAAGTTGATGGTACTCTCACGAACCTCTGCTCTACGTTCTTCTCGTCTGATACAGTCGTTGTAGCCCCACTATATGGCCGTACACAACGCGACTTTGACCCATCAGGAAAGCCATCCGGTCACACATGGTGAAAGCCAAGGGAACCGACCATCTGCCCCTCTGGTGACATGAACTAGAAAACGTGACGGCAATTGACGGCGCGTGTTGCATGTGGAAGCGTGCATCGGGGGTTGGATGGTCCGGGCGCGAGCGGGGGCCCCTGCCAGATCAACAAGGCAGCTTCTGTATTTGGCTGCCTCCTTCTCCACGAATCCATCCCCAGACCCCGCTGCCCAGCCGTACTACACCATATCCACTCTCGCCTGGTTCTTTACGATTCACTGGCAGACCGACCGGCTCATTTCTTGATTCATCTGCATCGTAAAGACTTCACGCGTGGCGCTCTAGAACTGGTATGCTTTGGGAAGCCCGTCCGTTTGCCGAACTGCTTCTGGGCCTGGATCCGCTCTATTAGAAGGGCCTATTACTTGGCTATAGCACCTTCGAGGCATAGCGAGCTTGGAAGGTAAAAATTTCCCAGTCACTCCGCTGTCACTCCGACCCTAAAGCGGTGCTATTACCGCTCATTAAGCATACTTGGCTAACGGCGTGGCGCCCTGAACGCCGCATCACTGCATCCAGAGCAAACCATGCATCGGGTCAGGCAAGCATGGTAGGAGCCTCGGTGCCATGGGGTTGCAAGCGCGAATTGTTTTGCGGAGAAGCCTGTACACTATAAAAAGACCCAGTATTCCGGAATCCTTGAGCATCGTTGCACATTGGCCATCGAGTGGAGAGCAGTTCCATTTTTTCCCTCCACAACTCCAGATCTTCTCCAGTCTTTGCCGGCTGCATATTCAAGATGGCGGAGAAGAAAGATGAGATGGGCGCTGTTACGCACCAACTCAGCCAGGTCGACGATGACATGAACAAGCATGCGAACGTCAAGGAGGCTAACGTAGCCTCAGTGGCTCTAAGTAAGTTTCATTTTGAAGCCTCAGTGAATGGTAAGAGTCAATACTGATAGCGCGTAGCCGCTGCCATGGAGGCAGAAAAGCCGAAGCTGTGGTCTCGAGGCATGATCCAGCTCTACATGATCATGGGCATTGGCTACCTCGTCTCTACGCTCAACGGTTTCGACAGCTCTCTCATGGGATCCATCAACGCGATGAAAGCCTACCAGAACACGTTTGGTCTGACTGGTCAAGGATCCAGCACTGGTATCATCTTCATTATCTACAATCTGGGCCAAATTGCCGCTTTTCCATTGTAAGTAGGCGTCAGACGTAGGTACCAGTTTTTCTTGCGACTAACGTTGTTCAGCTGTGGATTTCTTGCTGATGGATATGGTCGCCGGGTCTGCATCGCCGTTGGCTGCGCGCTAGTGCTCGTTGGAACCGCCGTTCAAGCTACGGCCAACGAGATGGGTCACTTCATTGCTGGTCGCTTCATCCTCGGATTTGGCGCGTCCATCGCCTCTGCTGCTGGTCCCGCCTACACCGTTGAACTCGCGCACCCTGCCTATCGTGGAACCATGGCTGGAATGTACAACAACTTCTGGTGGGTCGGCAATATTCTGGTAAGTTGTGCTTGTACGAAATGCATGTGAGACATTTACTAACTTCGTCTCTTCACAACACTAGGCAGGTTGGACGACGTACGGTACCAATCTTCACATGGGCAACTCTTCATGGGCATGGAGAATCCCCACCATTGTCCAGTGCATTCTCCCTACCATCGTTATGGCCTTGATCATGTTTTTCCCAGAAACGCCTCGTTGGCTCTTGGCGCATGACCGCAGAGAGGAAGCCATCGCTATCATGGCAAAATACCACGGAAACGGCAACCCCAACTCTCCTATCGTACAGCTTCAGCTACACGAGATCACCGAGGACTTTGCCGTCACTCGCAACGACAATCCCTGGTGGGACTTCCGTGAGCTTGGCAATACCAAGGCAGCACGTTACCGATTGGCCATGGTCATTGCAATGGCTTTCTTTGGTCAATGGAGTGGTAACAACGTTGTCAGCTATTTCATGCCCGCAATGGGTAAGTTGTGCCTATACGAAATGCATGTAAGACATACACTGACTTCGTATTTTCAAATCTGCAGTCAAGAATGCCGGCATCACAGATCCCAACAAGCAATTGCTCATCAACGCGATTAACCCAATTTTCTCGATGATTGCTGCCATCTACGGTGCCACTCTTCTCGACAAGCTTGGTCGCCGAAAGATGCTTATGGGCGGTCTCTGGGGTGGTCTCTTCGCCTACGTTCTCCTCACAGCCTTCACTGCTACCGCGACCAAGGACAACAACCTCGCCTACGGCACCATCGTCTCCATTTACCTCTTCGGCATCTTTTTCGCCTGGGGTTGGACCCCCCTACAAACCCTATATGCCGTCGAATGCTTAGAGAACCGTACTCGCGCAAAGGGATCTGGTCTCAACTTCCTGTTCCTCAACGTCGCTATGGTGGTCAACACCTACGGTATCTCAGTGGGAATTGAGAAGATCGGATGGAAGCTTTACCTCGTTTACATTGCATGGATTTGCATCGAGATTGCCCTTATCTTCTTCTTCTTCGTTGAGACTGCAGGCAAGACTCTCGAGGAGCTTAAGGAGATCTTTGAGGCGCCCAATCCAAGGAAAGCTAGTTTGAAAAGGGCAAAGGTGGAGATCGATGATAGTGGAAACATCCACAATGTTCACGAGTGATGTACGATAGGGGACATTGGATGTAGTACGATGATTCATGGCAGGATGAAGCTTTACGCGAATGCAACGAAGTTTAATGTGTTGTTCCTGATCGAAATGCGTCAGCTGTCTCTGTTGTCTCGCGCTAAATCTTCTAACGATTTTATAATTATTCCCTTCAATTGCAAGAAGCTGTTTCACTTACCTGTTGCTATGCAAACTACTCGTACCTTCACTTAAGCCCCTACCAGAGAAAAGTCCCGAAAATAGCAGGGTGGAATTGCGGGAGCGAGAGCTGAAGTTGGCACACATATTGGTTGAGGGTGGTGCCCTCAGGATCTAGTTGTTCTTGTAGTACTTCTTGTCTACAACAATGTATCTGACTGTATAGATATAACATATATTACAGAGGTTATGAGTAGCAGGCTATTCTTTTCGGAGTTATTGTAGCATTTCGAAACAAAGTAGATGATAAGAAAGTGTGAATGTGTAACCAGGTGCAAGTCCAGGAAAGAAACATGAAAATAGACAAAATTTCAAAGCACCGACAAGGGAACATCACCACTCGAATGGACTTCGCTGCCGAAACCGCCCCTCTTTGCTCGCGGTACAACTGGTGCACCCTCCCATGCAGTTCCTTCAGGCAAAACCTCTCCCTTCATAAGCAGCGACAAACTCCCAAGTTGTGCCTCATCTTCAACCTTACTCCCTGGTAAACAGATCGAGTACGTTTTGAGACAGGCGCGGCGACCAATAGATACGTTACCGACCTTCATGACGCGATCTTCGAAGAGATGAGTCTGCGCACCGCAGGTTGTGTTGATGATACACTCGTCTCCTAAAGTGACACAGTCGTATTCTGTGATGTCGCTGGAGAGAAGTGTCACCCTTGAGCCGACAGAAGCGCCCATAAGGCGGAAACACATGGCTAGATAAGGAGTACCGACTAAGTGGGCTGCCAACAGTGGTTCGGTGAGCGTTTCCCAGGTACTCGTCACCGCTTCGCTGAGCCATACGTTGAGACTCCAAAGAGGCCATTCAGCTGGTTTGTACCGTCCGATGAGGATCCATTTGATCGAAGCTGTGAATGTCAAGGCAGGTAGGGCGAACAAGAAGAGATAGAAGAGTGGTAGCATGAGTAAGGTGCGAACCGCGCCAATCTTGTGATAGCCGTCGTGAGCAACCTGCAGTGAAAATCCGAGACCGAAGATCATAATGGCGCGTGGTAGGACAATGCGAAGGCCTTCGATAAGAAGTCGAGCAGCGATCCGGCCTGCAGATGGTCGGAAAAGTAGACTGTCTTCGTGGCCTTCCGCTCGTTGACGATTGGGCATCAAGACTGGTGGAGATCCAAAGCATGAACTATTGCTTGCCATCGGGGTGTCTGCAGGCGGCGCTATGGATAGCACACCGAGCAAAGTTCCAGACGCTAGTGTAGTGCCTTGAGGAAGCACAGATGCATTGCCAGCGAAAGCACGAGACTCGAGCTTTGTCTTCTTGAGAGTCACCTGATTTCTCCTCACCACATCCTCTCCCATGACCACTGCGTCGGCAACGAAGCTTTCCTCACCAATCTCCAGAAGCTCGAAGGGGATGTTACGTGCAGTCGAGATCTCAGCACGTTTGCCAATTTTTGTTCCCAGTGCCCGGAGGAATGGAACAATGTAAAGAGTAGCGAAGACAGGGTGGAGCACGTCCAAGGCAAGGTCCATCAATCTATCAACGAACCACTTCCGAAGATAAAACATGCTGTAGATACTGTATGTACCTTCCTTCAGACGGCCTAGGAACAGATGGCGGTAGACCAGCAGCTGAGCGAAAACCAAGATTTGATACGCAAAAGCGATTGGAACCGACAGAATCGCAACTTGCTGCCATCCACTGATAGATCGAATGTCGAGGACGTCGAAGAGTAACAAACCTGGTATCTGCGGCAGGAAGTACAAGAGAGGCAATACCAGGAATGCGACGAATGAATTACCAAATAGCATGGCTGCTGCCCGAGCTCTTGAGGGCCTGGTGTCTTTGGGCTTTGGTGAGCCGTCATCTTTCACAACCCTGTCAAGACGTGCTGGCGATCCATGGAAGCGATGAAAGCTGGGTACGTTCATACCAGAGGGTACAAGCGAAAGTGGCGCGACTTCTGCCTCTTCACCAATAGTTGCGCCACCCTCGATGACACAGCGCGACCCGATCACTGCACCATTTGCAATGACGATACGCTTGAGAATCAGACGGCCTCTCTCAACCACGGAGACGCTTAGAGAAACCTCCCCTCCGACAACCACGTCGTCACCAATCTCAATCAAATCAAAACATGGACCAATCTGCAGTGCACCGAGATGGCAAAATCGCCCGACTTTCGATCCCATCGCTCGTAAGAAGAAGGGGTATAGTCCAGAGTCTGCGATCAACTTTGGGTTTGCCATTGATGTCATACGGTCGACCAGCCACCAGCGGAAGTAGTACATTCCGTAGAGAGGATACTCGCCGGGGATTGCCCTTCCGAGAATCAACCATTTGCTTGCAAGAGCCACAATGGTAAGAGCGGGTGGAATCACCACGAAAACGCCATAGGCTGTCAAGATAGCGAACCCGATTCGGCCTGCAATTGCATGGAAGTCGAAGAGTAGATAGGGAACCAGAATCTCGATGGATTGTAAGAAGAAGACGAGGAGTAGTGGTAAGATCTGAGCCATGCCACAGAGCACGAACTTTGTCTGGGAAACGGGTAGGTATTCTCCAGTCCATGATCCAGTACCCTCATCGTCGTAGAGCGAGTCGTCCTCCTCGATGTTAATGCAAGGACTCTTTCCTTGTGATGAGGTTTCAAACCGAGACGCAATGTTGGCTGGAGTCCTTGCTTCGTAGATGTCTGCAAGTCCTATCGAAGCAAAAGGATAAGACTTATCGTTGCCAAGTTGTGCCTGTCGTAGTCGTGAAACCAAGATTGCTGCTATCAGCGAATGACCACCAAGTTCGTTGAATATATCGCTGTCAGGCTTCACATTCACTTGCGGAAACAACGGCGACAAAGTATCTAGCATCAAGCCCAGAACCCCATCCACTGGAAAGCTCGAGTCCAATGAGTCGATGTCGTTTTCGCCGTGACAACTCGGCCGCGCAACTGCTCTTTCAGCATGTATCCCCGCAGAAACATCTTGCAAAGCTTTTGCGTTGATCTTGCCACTCGGAAGCCGAGGCATCTCGTGCGCTTGCAGAGAAAATATTTCCTCTGGGCGCATGTAGGATGGCAGGCTGTTGAATGCACTCTGGCTGACGGAGGCGGTATCATGGACAACCCCTTCTCCGAGAACAACAAAAGCTTCTAGACGGGCAGACTCTGAGTTGGCGTTGGCCAATATCACAGCTGCAGCCTTTACGTCCGGTACGCCGTAGAGTCGCGACTCGATCTCGCCAAGTTCGATACGGAAACCGCGGTGCTTAACTTGCGTGTCAATGCGACCAAGAAAGACTATCTTTCCATCCGCCTGTAGCTTTACGAGATCCCCGGTGCGATACAGTCTCTCTCCACAACCAGCTCTCAAAGGATGAGCGATGAACTTTTGTGACGTCAAGTCAGGGCGTCCAACGTAGCCAAGGCCAACACAGGGCCCTCCAATGGCGAGCTCTCCCTCAACACCTTCACGCCATTCGACAGGCTCAAGGGTAGTTGATAAGTCGTCTTGTGAGACAGGAAGCAGACAGGCATGATATCCAGGTAGCGGTTTGCCAATAGTGACAGGTATATCAGGCTGAAGTTCGTCCCAAGTCGCTGTGACGGTGGTCTCAGTAGGACCGTATGTGTTGATGATTCGAAGACCAGGTCTTGCGAGACGGCTCACCAGTGCAGGCGGGCAAGCTTCACCACCGAGATTGATCAACCGAACGGATGATGGAAGAAGAGAGTCACCATCGTCTGTTCGCGCGATGTTCATGATGCCGATCAGAGTCGGAACGGCGTTGACAAGAGTGACACCACGGCTCGCCCATACCAAAGGCAAAGCTGGCACATCTCTGCATTCCGCTCGAGTACCTATAGCAAGATGGCCTCCACCTGCGATAGTGACCCACATCTCTTCAACAAACATGTCAAACGCCGGACTGAAACCATTCCAGACGATGTCTTGCGGACTCGTTTCCAAGACCTTCTGCTCGCTCAAAGAGAACATTAAGGCAGCAGAATGAGGTATAGCAATTCCTTTCGGTGTTCCTGTAGTTCCAGAGGTGTATATAAGGTAGGCAGCATCGTGGGGTCGGGGACCAGGTAGTGGCGTATGTGTGGAAGCGTTGAAGTCATGTAGGTATTGCGCTTCAGTACTCAACTGAGAGAATGTGCGACATTGTAGGGCCGGCATAGCAGCGCTCAATCTCGCTATGGTAACTCGGTCACACACCTCCTGGACCTGGTCAGCATGTGCTGCGTCACTGATGATCAGAGATACTGAAGCATCGAGCACGCAGATGGCAGCGCGCTCAGCTGGGACGTCTGGATCCAGGGGAAGCCATGTGGCGCCAGAGTAGGTTGTGGCAAGAATAGCGAGAATGAGCTCGAGTCCTTTCTCTAGCCAAACGGCCACTGTTGGCACGCTATCATCTTTGCCATGTCGAGTGGCAGCTGCGATGCATCTTGCCAACGACGCTGCTTTAGCATCCACTTCGGCATAAGTGATTGTGTGAAGTCCGTGTTCAGTCTGTACGGAGTATGCGATGTTATCGGGCTGTGTCTCCGCCGTGTGATGAAACAATTGTGGTAAGGTAGTGACTGATGCTGGTGCGATAGGTTCTGCGTCAAGAGGTGCATCTCCAATCAGGATTTTGGAGTCCATGTCTGAGCCTCGATGTAACGAGTGGTTTAGTGTTGGGGATCGTGGCTCGTGGTCATATCCTTTTCAATCGGTTCCTTGGATGATCCGAGTAAGTGAGTGTCGAGAAAGAGTAGTAGAGGCCAAAATCGAGAAGAGGAAAAGGGCGACGAACAAAGAGGAAAGGGCGACGAAAGAGACGGAAAGGGCGAGGAACAGAGCGGAAATGGGAGGTCTCTCGCATCATCCAGTCTGTGACCATTCACTTTTAGTATCATTTTCGTAATGAGGCATTTTGACCCCTTTGCCCCGGATTTACAACCTGCTCAAAATAGTATGCGTCAAAGCAACCGTAAGACCAGACCCGGCTAGACCTGTCTCCCTTGAAAGTGTCAAGGAGGTGAGTGGCTTACAGCAAATCATGGCCGCGCGGCGGTGTCGTGGCGTGTCGTGTCCCTGCGCCACACGTCGGAGGACTGGCGCTGAACTGTCACTTCTTCCGGTATAGATCTTAGGCGCTTGTATACCGCGCCAACGTTGCGGGGGATGGCTTGCGGGATTTGCGACAAGGCCTCAGTCGCCTCTGCGTACATAGCAAGGCCATCATTGGAAACAGTTTGTCTATCTATGAACCTATCGGGACACGCAAAACCCTCAATATCAGTAAGTTATGTTGTGAATCGTGTCAAGGTAACATTATATGGAGTTCTTGTTGTGGTTTGGAAGAAAGCAGATCTGACACGTTGCCAAGCCGGATTAAGCATTTGGTCTCCACTTTTTAAATGCTTGTACCGGCCAAAACTCCGGCCACGCGTGATGATTGCGTGTCAAGGTTTGCGTTAATAAGGCGTTTCCAATTATTTAGCAGAGCGTCATGTTCTTGTTGTATCACTTCCATAATACGATGCTATTGAAATTTGATCGCCAAAACTAGATCTAAGCTCGATACACCGTTCTATATACTTTATATCCCATCTTAATCAACGCGCCTGATCACCAAGCTCTATTACAAGTACTACAGTACTACTGCTATCCACGTTATGTTTCTTGCTTCAGATAAATCCCGTACTGGAGTGTTGTTTTCATGTAGCACAAGTTGCGACGTGCAAATCAGGGTTAATTAAGAGCACAGGGTCTCCCACCCAAGTACATCTCACCTTCCATTGCCATCTTCAATGCAACGCCACCCTTTTACCCTGCCTTGTTCCGTCTGACACCTGCCATGTAACGTCTAGCTTGCTTTGTTTTCCAAATAGTTCTACTCAAACTACATTCGGCTTGGTGACACGTCTGTGGAGCGGAGTCGCCGGCATCCGTATATGTAGGAAAGAGGGTCAAGGTGGCTCATGTGATGCAGATCTGCATGCAGCCCTGGAGGTGTTTTCATGCGACATGTTACTTTTTGTGAAGATGTTTTGTTCTTCACTTGTGGGATTCTTGGTGTAGACCTGGCTAGATTGCTGATCGTGGCCGTGTAGGGGGAGAAGGATTGAAATAATGATTGGGAGTGATTTCCGGACAGTTTCAGGCTAAAACAGAGAGAGGTGAACAAGATGGGTAGCCACGCTGAACTGTTTTTGTTTTTCTTGTTTGCTTTTTTTCTCGCGCCGAGATATGCGGTGAAGTATCACTTCGGGCTTCGCATCAAGGACGATAAATTTTCCTACAGTTTCCCTAAGCGAGATAGACAGAGCTGACAAAGAGTAGGACCGATTTCTGCAAAACTTCAGATCCAGCGGTTGGGGAACCGTAGTTCACGCAGTGCCGCTAGCAGGACACGAGTATATGGGCTTGGCAAAGTCGACCTAGTACGATAGTGGCGCTTCGTCTGCATCTTGTGTATGCATTGCGTCCCAAAGCGTACAACATGGGGAAAAGTTTCTGCTCTGACCTTTTTCGGTGTTCACTCGTGATCTCCATCTCGTCTCCGCAACTTTACTTTGCCGTCAAGCCACCAGTAAGACCCTTGTGTGTCTAACCGATATCCATCTCATCCACTGGTGCAGCCGCTCTTTCTCTCCTGATGGCGTCTTTCTTTGCTCTCCGTGCAGCGGCCTTGGACATGCCCTTGCCACTGCTGATTTTTCGGTACTCGTCTAAAGACATGCCTCTCCGCTCCGCAGCCACGATCTGAGCCTGTAGTGTTTTGTCTTCCGACATGTCCATCTTGGGATTAGCCACTTTTCTTTCTTTGCGAGCCTGCATTCTGGCAAGGTTTTGACGAGTGCGTTTGTCTAGAGAGATTTAGTATGACGGTGAAGGGGAAGCCATAGTGGGACAACGCACTCATCTTCTTGCCCGCAGGCTCCGAATCAATTGCCATAGTCTGGTCACCGTTCGGTTGCTGAACCGAGCCTGCATGTGATGTCAGGTTCGCTCACCCCGGTAGCATGAAAGAAAAGCAAGTGCTCGCAGGATTAATAGACGTTGGATCAACAATGCCCCGACACGTGACATACCAGTCTGCAGGTCAGCTTGGGGTGCCGAAAAGGCGTCACCCAAGACGTCGACTAATTCATCAGCCAGTGCGCCCATCTTGCGTCGGTCCTTTTGCTTTTTCTTTTTCGACTTGGTCGCAGGTCCCATGCCGTTTGCTCGCCTCGGGGAGGCGCTTCGCTGGCTCGTCTGTGATTGGTCGCTGTCGCTCGCATCTGAAAATTGTTGCTCTTCGCCCAACCTGAATCCTGTGTTTGCAAGAGTCGATGTGTTCGCAGATGCTGCGGCTGCTTCGGGCAAGGCGGGCGCCATGGTGCGAAGGATCGATGACCGAAAAGAGGATAATGCAGATGCAAAGTTGGGTGCACTTCACAAAAGGCAATAGGCAAAGATTCGGCAGAAGGTTTATCCGGCGCATGTGATTTGTCCGTCGGTGTGTATTATCGAGTACCAATGCTGTGTCGCGCTATGCGCTCTATCATCTACCTCGTCTTCGGTCTTTTGAGGATTATACTGTAAAAAAAAATGCTATGCAAAATGCCGCCCTGAACGCACTTGAAAAGAATGAGTGAATGCGAAGGATTGGGCCGAAAGTGAGGGAGATAATGGCCCCGCAGTGGGGATGGGAAGAGAAGAAGATGTGATTAAGGAGATTCGTGAGTCGTGAATGCATGTCCAAGCACCCGTTCCGGCGGCCGACCAGGCCAGTCCTTTGCGCCCAACTCCAATGCCAAGCCCTGTCTAGCTCTTGATACCAACTCCAGCCCAAGCAAATATGTGATGTGACGCTATTCGTCGTCGTCTACGAAGAATCCCCAAAAGAGAACTTCCTGATTCTCCCGTCCGCGCAGACTACCTCCGTAGACGTCTGCGCACATCTCGATGGGCACCTCGAGTTTGATGCAGCCGTTGCCGAGGAAAGTGAAGAGCAGCCACGAGTCGTACTCTGGGAAAGTACCTTCCTCGTCAAACTTCCTGCTACGTATGCCGCGATTCCGTAGCGAAGGTGTTGTGGGGAGGCGGAACGTGTGGTAGGGGAGCGTCTCTTCCGAGTCGGCAACGAAGAAGGACTCGTTGAGAGCGAGTTCGATGGTGACGTGAGGCGAAGGGGAGTGTGGTTGCGAGGGCATCTCGTGGTGGTTCAGGTTGTCCTTGTGGAAGCGCAGGGTGCCGAAGCGCAAGTCGGTGGGCTGGCCGAGCAAGTCGAACAGCTCTGTGGAGTAGAGGCGGAAGTAGCCATTGTGCAGGCTGCCCAGGTCGCTCTCGTCGTCTTGGGCATGTCCGCTGAGCGAGAGGGTCTGCAGCTGGTCCTCGACACGCTTTCCCTCGAGCTCGGCTGCATCGAGCGACCGGCGGATGTACTTGGGTGTGTATTGGCTGCTGAGGTCGGAGATGGCGAGTCGGCAGGCCTCGCGACGGACGTCGTCGCGCGGACTACTGCCCTTGGCAGCCAGGCCGTGGGCGTGGCCGTGGCCGTGGTCCTCTAGCGACCGCAGCAGGCCAGTCTCGAAGCTCTTGACGAGCTCCTCGAACTCGCGCATGACGCGAGCGAGGGGAGGCGGGACTGCACTGCTCTCGAAGACGGCCATTGGGGCAGGCCCTCAGGCAGGACGTGGTGTGGGCGCAGGGAGGGAGCGCGTTGGGCAGGGCGGCAGGTGGTGGACGCGGTGGTTTGAGCCCTGGGCGGAGAGGGGTGAGGCGTCGATCTCGTCAATTGATTGTGTTGCGAGTCGTCGAGGAGCGGGTTTGGGGTTCGGCCGTTAGTCGTGAGGGAAAGTCGCAAAACAACAACAACAACAAAGTGTCTTCGCTACCGCGCGAGTGCATCAGGAGACAAAGAAGGTCGGGACCTCGAGGGAGGGACCGAAGTTTTGCTCGCGGGTCGAAGGCCGCCAAGAGTGCTGGGTAGATGCTTCCCTCTTTCCAGCCCACCGGCGAGCGCTACTGCATCCCCGGCCAATGAGGGCGAGGCTGCTACTCCACGGCGATGCGCTGCGAAGGGGGGCTTCGGTGTGCGACTCCCCTGGACTGTACGTGATACTGGGGCTGCAGCGGTTAAACCCTACGACAGAGGCGCGAGCGCTAAGTCTTGCTTCTGCTCAACAGTCGCTGTGTGGGCGCCGCTTGTAGCAGACTGACCCAGGCGTCGCTCGCTCAGTTGATGCAGCAGGCGAACCGCTGTGTCGGTAACCAGTTAGAAGTTGTCAACACAGCGAGAAGCCACTAACAACCGGTTCGGCAACACTATCTGCACTATCTGACACGGGCCGATGATTTCGAGACACAAAGTTGTGATGGGCAAGTCGCTAGCCTCCAGGCGAAGACGACCTCAGCGGCTGAGAAGCCCAGAGCCTGCACGGCCTGCACGGCGCCTGACACGCCCCAGGGCCAGCCTTCGCGGTCGGCATGTCCATGGCCGTCGATGCCGCTCATCCCTCACCAAGACGTCCGTCACTTGCATCACTTGCAGCCACGCTGTGATTGTTCCCTATCCGGCCTGGCGTGCCTGCCACATGCTCGCTCGACTCGCATCGCCACTTCCTCGACAACTCCTCCAAGCTTTCCCATCCCAGCCTCTTCCCCGACGCCTCTCTGATCGCCTCTTCGTCAGCACTTTATTCCCTCGTCTTGGCTGACCACCTCGTATTGATGACTGCTGTGACCGCGCCAGCGCATCGGCCTGCTTTCCTCGCGAACCATCATCCCGCGTCTCTGCGCACGCATGTCGGCACTTTGCACCTGCGTCGCGACTTCTGATGCCATTTGAGACGGTGATGCCAATGTGCAAACTCGCTCACTCCTGTCTTTATCCCCGCAATGTGCCGGCAACCACTCACTACGTCACTGCTGTCAGCCTCCGCGTGAGCCCATACACAGATATACCCGTGGCGGTGAGGCTTTTGCCCTCATCCCACGGCTGATGATTGCTCTGCATCACACAGTTGCAAATCTCCATGCACATCGACGCTTCCATCGCTCGCTGAGCAACGACATGCGACTAATATCCACGCTTACCGTCAGATGGGGCCCCCAGACAGTGAAACAGTCCATCTCCCCTGGTTCCAGTCGTTCATCCCGGCTCTACGGGCCTGCTTCGGCTTCTTACGTTATACGCCCACCTCCAGGGTTCGCGATTGAACCGATGCATCCGTGACAACACTCGCAGCTCCTTCCGATAACATGGTAAGCTAAGTATTTGTGGGATATCGACTTCATCTTGATGAAACTTCACGAGTACCGAGGATGCCATGTGCTACACAGGAATTCGACGTGCATTCCATAGCAATCAAGAACATGAGGAAGATGTACTCGACCAGGGCACTGCGCCTGTTATCGAGGAGCAGCGACTCCGCGTGGTGAAGGTGGAGCGAAGTTAGACTAGGGAGCAGGAACAATGGTAAACATATGTGAGGCAGTTGCTCAACACGAGAAGAGCTCCGTAGATCCAAACTCGCCCGTCACCTCTTGTCCCCAAGCCGGCAACAATGCACACACTGCAACCTTCTCAAAGGACTATGTTGTTAACGCATCCCCTCACTACCGCAAGTCTAACATGTCTCCCGTCGACGACGCTGTGAAGCCTATCCCGCCCACTCTTCAGATTTTCAGTCCATCCTCAACCCCAGGGCCGGCTGTCGCGTCCAAGCATATTGCCAATGGGCCAGATGCCGACTCAGATGGTAAGAACAAGTCGGACGGTGACTGTCAACTCTTGGAGAAGGCTGTGAACCATATCATCAACATCAAGACACTCACCAGGCTCTGCAATCTAGGGAGTGTAGACGCGGTCAGGATCAGAGACACCCTCATCAAAAACTATACCGATACGTGTCAAAGACAAGCCTACCGCGTCACATTCCGCGAAGTTTTGCACGACAACCTTCTTGCCGCTTTGTAACAAGAGAGAAATGCGAGGACAAGTATGCTTATTGATGGACACGAGATGACCGCGAATGTCAATTCTATGGAAAATTGTTGCATTATGTTCATCTCGCTTATGCAAGATTTGGTCGAGCAGTTTTCTAGGGGGCTTGGATGTATGTATGCTCTTGATGGTCCCGCAATTGCGTAAGCAGACACGGTCACAGCTGGATATGAAAGTCGCGAATATGCAACTTTGATTCTTTGTTTGTTGTCACGATGTTCTGAAAATGGTCAGATTGCTGCTTCAGTGTTATGGGTGGCACCAGAACATGCACTGGAGTTACTCACCACCCCCTCCCCTCACAATCACAGCATGTGAACTAGATGATCGCGCCCCAACGGCCTGAACTGAGATATACAAAACGTGCTGCTCTATTTGAGTTCCCTAGAAGGGTTCAACATTATGTAGAAATACATGATTGAGTAGGGTAAGCTTTTAATGCCTCAGGTGTTATTTCCAGTCGCAACACCCCAGAAGTACGCCGCCCAGGAACCCACCACCAAGAACAACAGTGCAATGAACAAAGCCATGCTGATCTTCCTGTTTCTCTGGCCAGAAGTTCCCGACTTAAACTCCTCTCTCCGCACGTTGATGACCTCGCCCTTCGTGATACGTTGGCGCCTAGTCCACTGGAGTTGTGCAAGGTCACTTGTCCAAAAGCAGCCGACGAACATGCTCGCTGCTACCACAACCGAACACGCGGAAAGAACGACATACACAACAACGACATTGTCGTAAGAGTTGTCGTCACGATCCTGGATGACTCCCGTGATGATACGGATGATGATAGACATGGCGTTGTTGACTGCAATCTTGACGGCGTATCCAGAACCAAAGACTTCTTGGTACCACATGGAAGTGCGAATTGAGTCGATGATGACGGTCGGGCCAAACATAGATGCGACACCGTATATACCAAACGAAGCTGCCGTACCAGAGAACGTTGGGCCCCATGTCGCCAGGCACATTGATAGCAACATGCCCAGCCCACAGACAAGCATAAGGGTGATACGGTTGCCTAGAACGTCTACGAAGACGCCGATAATCGGAACAAGGAAGAATCCTAGATACTGCGCCAGTGAGGAGTACCACCCTGCCTTGACGGCATCCATGTCGAAGCGCTGCTCAGCGAACTCCGTTGCATTCTGAGCGAAGACGGATGCGGTACTGGTTTGGAAAAGTGAGAAAGCGACGATACTCCAGAAGGTCCAGGGAAGCCGGAAGACCTTTCCAAACTCAAACTTCTTGTTGCTTTCCGTGAGTTTCTCGCCGGTCGCGGGGTCAGCTGTACCGGTGTACTTCTTGCCGCACCATCGCGTGAAAATCCAGTAAAGGAGAGTCGTCACGTTAGTGAAGAGGTTCATGAAAACAGCGACCCAGTACACCCAGCTAAAGTCACCTGTGTTTTTCGCGATGACGTTTGCTGTAGCCTTGCCAACGAAAGATCCGATCTTGCCAATACCGAGTTCAAAGCCAAGAGTCGATGCGAAGCCGTTGGATGGCGCGAACCAGGAGCTGAACACTTTGTACTGTGCCACTTGCGTGGCGATGTCTCCGAATGCCTGGACGATCGACCCGAATATCATGAATTTGTACGATCGGACGGTGGTGGCGGCTGCAATAAAGATCGCACCTATACTGTAAATGGCATTGCCCCAGAGCATGGCGCCTGTTAAGGTGTACAGTCAGCGTCAAGACATGGTTGAATAGGTAGAGGAGAGACAAACTTGCACCACCAATCCTATCGGTGACAAGACCGCTCACGAGGATTAGAGCTGTTTTCATAAAGTCCTCGCTGGCTTCCAGCACAGAATACTGAGCGTTGTTGATATGCAGTTCCTTCTCCATGTCAGCTGATGTAACTGTAATGAGAGCATTATACTGTTCATACCTTCTTTACAGTACTTTTCATCGCGCCTGTGACACCACTACTCCAGTGTGAACCAAATCCAGTTGCGGTAACCAAGAGAATAGCAATGAGCTTCATCTTCAGCGGGATCGCTGAGCTCCGATCACTGCCATCACGCTCACCGGTCGATGCTTCACTCGATGCTACGACCACATCTCCAGCCTTTTTCTCGGACACAGAAGGCTCCCGCCCACCGTTGTCTGCTGAGATGTCATGGCGACGCTCAGAGGGGGACCGTGCATCCATCGTCCCTGGTCACTGCAAGCAAGAGATGATCAGATAAAATAAGAAATATTCCTACATTTTGAGCGGCGCCTATCTTCCATTTAGTACTGCCGAGCGGGAAGGAAAACCTCGTGTCTCCGCTCCATAGTTCCAAAAACCGGGTTGCTTACGGGCCTTTTAGGAGGTAGAATATCCTGTAGGCTGTCTCCACCGCTCGAGACTGTGCGCTGCGCACGCGTTGAGACTCTGATATCACCGGAAGATTACCCGTTTAGATAGATACGATACCACCCGCTATGAGATGTTGCGAACCTGATTTGGTATGCCGGATCCTCTTCTAACGCGTTGCTCGTTTTGTGTACTGCAAACATCTAGTTTTGTCTTTTTCGCAGAATCATGTTGCCCTCTGGCCAGTCCAACAGCGGTAGAAGCCCGACAAGCGGCTCGCACCGCCAATCCCAACACGGCAAGGCGCAACAAAGAGAATTTTTATCAGATCGTCTTATCAGATGCTAGGATGAAATCTAGCCTCTTGGGCAATGCAGGCTACTCATGGTGGATCGACGGAAGAAGGTTCACACGATATTGGGACATTGAGACGTTTCTGTCTATATCACCAAAGATGCGGTCGCAGAAAATTTAATAGCGCTTGAGCACGAATCTGCTCAAACTCGACGCGTGGCAGCAGTGCAGAAGCCTGGGACTAATTCGGCGTCGCTCTCACCCACATCCACACGTCAGATACGAGTCCATCCATGTTCGTATATACCCCTTGATCCTACGCAGCCAGTGCGGTTTTGCGATCTACAAGAGATGATACAGGTTGTAGAGATTTGCTTCTGATTGGAGTCTCTATGAATACCCCCCAAAGCCTTAAAGACTCGGATGCTCTGTAATCCTGGTATACGACCTCCAGCGCCAAACGCCTTGCCAATGCCCATTCCCTCTGCGCTCAGTGCAAAGGGGCCAAAATGCACGAAGTCTCTCCATGCGTCATTGAGATGCTCAAGGTGAGCCCTCGTCTCATCAGTTGACCACGTCTCCCCCACCCTCATCTAATCCAAATACCAAAAGCGATGAGGCTGTAAACCCAAACATGGGTGATGCGCATTACAGTCTCCTACCGAGAACACCCTAAGATTCACCTCTCTGCTTCCTCTCAATTTCGTCCTTCAGGTTCACGAGATCTTGCTCGGTAGCCTCGAATTCCAGGCCCTGCTTGACCCATTGCGCCGCTTCGTCCAATCTGCCCATCTCGAGCAGACACTTGCCCCGCCTCCACCAGGCCTTTGCATTGCCGACCTTCTTCATCTCCACGCTAGCCTCTGCGTCCACGGCGCCCTCTGCCCAGTTCTTAAGTGCCATATTTGCCTGTGCGCGGTTGCTCAGCAGCCCGGAGACCTCTTCTCTCACCAGACCTGAGGGTTCCCATGCCGGGCGAGCGAGCGCCATATCGACCGCGAGAGTATAGAGCTTGCCTGCCTCCTCGGGCTTTCCTTTCCTGAATTCGGCGTTGCCCGACTCGCGCAGCTTATTGATTTGAGCGGAACGCTTGGGGTTGACGGGAACAGGTGGTGGGGGCGTGCCTGTGGGTGTCTCGACTTGAAGCAGGTTTCTGTGCAGATTGTTCAGAGCGGCTAGCTCGGTCTCGAGGGCGTTGCTAAGGCTCTGGGATGCGGTGATCTCAGTGGTATTGGGGTCCATCTCGAGAGGTAGGAGTGTGAAAGTATCCGGTGACTCCATGATGACTATGTGCTTGTTGTGTATCAAACTCGTAGGGTTAGGGCCGTATGAATTGTGGCTGGCGTAGAGGTCAAGTTCGCGCAAGTTGTGGTTTTGGGTGGAGGGCGATGAGGACAGTTGGATAATTCCCCGGGATTGCTATCGATAACAAATGCGCGCTAACACGTGTCTTGTCTCTTTCGCCAACTTCACTTGTGTCGCGTCCAACCGCGACGCGCCATTCATCCTCCTACCCATCATCGACTCGCATCAATAGGGTGGTGGGACTCAAATCTCGTAACGCCACAAGCGCATAACTGTGTGCTTTCTCGCAGTCACGCTTCATGGCATCTTTGTTCCTTTTGTTGAGATGATTCCAAGTTGCCCCCTCGCCGTTTCTTGTCTCATTGAAGCTGTTATCACAACCATCCTCACCAAACGAATACGTGAGCTTTTGACACAAGGTGACAGGGAAGCGTCATGACCATAGTCTTCATGTACAAAACGAGAAACGGGAAAACCTTTTGGGCGTTAGGAGAGGAGAGGCTACGGATGACGCCATACGAATGATATGTACATGTTCGTCATGTGTGGAATCAGACCTTGCGGTTTCTACTATCAGTGAGTGTTCGGTTTACTTCCGATCCTTGAACATTGACAGCGCAAATGAGATGTTTAGTGGTGATGTATTGCGAGCGCATTTGGCAAGTGCCAATTGCACGCGAATGAGTGTTTCTATCGATCTTGGTCACACATATCTAGGCTTACATGATCATGCTGTCTAATCTGCGAGAACCTTTGTCTTTCCACTACTCAGTTGTTGGCTCACTTGCCTTGCAGTTGCGGTCTCCTTCAGTGTGGCTCTAGACCTGTGTTTTACGTTCTAATGACCACCGCAAACACGTGAGCAAACGTGCCTTCCCTTATAGTTACACCACCTCTGCCCCACCAGGTCCTCCCCCACCTCACCACAGGCTCGACATTGGATGACCCAGTCATATGCACACACACAAAACATGGCAAGATACACCGTCAACGTTGCAGCAGGAGGCAGAAGGGCGAGCTTGCTCGTCGTGCTGTCGTCATCTCAGCTCTGCTCAGCCTTGCATGATAGTGTCACGTCGCGCCTACCAGCCTTAGCCACAAAACTGGGCCTCACCGACGCGAAGCAACCCCAAATCACACTGCATTTGGAAAGGGATGACGGACCAATGCTGGATCTCGAGGACCTCCTCTCCGACGTCCTACCCGACCCCAAAGAGACTGTCTATGCGGTCATTGACGTAAGTGACCGTTAAAGCTAACCTCGTCACAAAAGAATGACAACCATCCCACATAACAAATACTGATTGTACCTCAGATACACGAGGAACAGTCCGCTTCCTCCACCCCACCACAATTGGCGACGTCTGGCGGATCGACAAAGACGCTGCGTATCCGCGTCGTTACCCCAGAGTCAGCTCAATCCAGAACTAATGTCGTCAACCCGATCTCGACACCCGTGTCGACTAAGTGCACCCTGAAGCATTTGAAAGGTCTCGTTCAAGAGCACTTGGGCTTTCCGATGGAAGAGGGCGACTGTCCTGCTCTAGAGTGCAATTGCAGCTTTGCTCGAAATATTGATGAGAATGCCGTTCTCAACGTCGATAGAACTGAAGACCACGATGCTCTCCATACAGCTATTCTTGTTCACTCCAACAACGTCGTAGTCGCCATTCCAGTCGATGACAACAAGCTCAGTACGATTCAGCGGGCAACGAACGGTTATATGGAGCGTATTCTAGAGCGGAAGCTGACCGACAAATTTACAAATGTATTAGGAGGTGTTGTGGACACAGGTGTGCAGCTTTCTGAAGACAAGAGCTATCTTAAACTCCCAATCATGGCCATTTGCTCGAAGCGATGCCATTCCCATCGTCAAGATCAAGGCCGACAAGCTGGGAATGACGCAGCTCAGCGAGAATTGGTCGTCGACATACACACATCAGAGTGCCCTCTCGAAATCACTGCACACAATGCCGACATTACCATTGAAGCGGCGCGACTGGAGGATTGCGCTGTCAATGGCATTATTGATATCTACGCCGTGCAGCAATGGACACTAGGTCAGAATGAACGCGCTGATCAAGGAAAAGCTGGCATCTTCAAGAAGTCAGAATCTTGGGAACACCACATCGGCCAGACTGACCGTGGGCTAGCCAGCCTCCTGTCGACCTTGCGTGTCTTCACCGAACTGACAGGGGATCAGAGCATGGAAGATGGCCAACGAGATTCGATCCTACATATGATCCATCTCTTGACACGATTTCCTCCTGCTGTCCGAGCCGCACACATCCTCATGCGTGGCGAGACTCCGGGACTCCCTGAGCGGGCTGCGTTAGCGCAGTGTTTATACGAGGTTCTCAAGAACGTCGTCCCTCTGCAAACTGTCCGCTCTGACCCGAAGCGATTCTTCGAAGGATCTCGTCTGCTTTTCGGTCTCATCCTAGAGAAGGCCAAGAACATGAAAATCAACTTGGAAGAAAGTTCCACGCTGCCATATATTGGGATGAAGGTTTATGATCTACGAAACCTAATCACTATGCACCCGGTACTTTCGGAGTCTGTCCAGACAATGTCTGGTCTCGTCGATGTTGGGTTTCACGAGGCTTTCGAGGAACAAGGACTTCTAAGCTGGATCAACAGAGACCGTTGCAAAGTGGTCTCAACAGTCGACTCAACATGGGATCGGATTGCTAAAGTTTCCGGTGGTACTAGAACACAAGCCTTAGTATTTGACCCCGATGCCGTTAGGACCAGCTCACGCTATGTGGACAGTAATGACGTCAAGAATGTCATTTCACCTGCGGAGTATGTTGACCTCACATACCTGGCCAACCTCTGCAGCCGCAACCAACTAAGTGTCATTCCGCCAGCTCGTCTGGCTTCTGCCTCTGCTCCCGTCTTGACTCTGGACAGAGATGGCTTCCTGGCTGTATACGTGGGGCGTGCAGGTTGTGCCGAGGCAGGCAGAGATATTCTCATGTTCCGGCCAGCTAGTATGCGTGAAGAAGAGGCCGTGGACGTTTCGATCATTACACAGTTATTGGAACCGATCCTTGCCCAACGCAAAGCTGATGGGTCCATTGTCTTTGAGGCCTATGGCGATAGTCATCGTAAATTGACTGCTCCGGACGAAATAACAATGATATGTGTCGACCTGTCATCAAGTATGGATGAGCGTTGCGGTTTCGATGACATACAGAACAGCGAAGATGCGGAAGAAGAGATGCAGGAACAGGTGCGGTCCACCGTAGCCCCCCCTCAAGCGCCGGTAGAAGAGAACAGTGCTTTCGATTTACCTGGCCCTGATGAGCTGAAAGAGTATATTCGCTCTCACGAATCGTACGACGACTTCATTGCTATCGTCGGCACGGGTAAAGATGATTACCACCGCCGTCAGAACGCCGAGAAGGTGTTCGAGATCCTCAAACAACTCCTCGATCAGCAGATAGAATCGAAGAGAAAACAATTGGAAGGTCTCAGGCAGCAGGCCAGCCAATATTACTATCGTACTCGATCGGAAATCATCGATCGCGATATGAACGTTCTCAATAATCGTTCCTTACGCTTGCAAAAGTACAGGAGCCTGCTTTGTGCATGGCTTATTGCTTGCCTCGGTAATGTGTCGGTATCGGATCCGCTAACATGGAGGCCAGGCGAGGCAATTCCCAAGCTACACAAGACTCTCTCTACCACTGAGAGCCCTGGATTTGAGGTACCGCCCGAGTATCATTGCCCCATCAGCAGTAATGTGATGGAAGATCCTGTGACTACTGTGGACGGGTTCACCTATGAGCGGAAAGAAATTGAACGGTGGTAAGTGGACATGTGACTTCCTTGTAGCCTCGCTTTGTATGAGTGCGTGTGATCAATTGCTTACCTAAATTTTCTCTAGGCTTCGGTTCAACGAGCGTTCGCCGTTTACAAACTTGATCCTTCCTAGCAACGATCTACGACCCAACGTACATATGCAGGAGCAGATTACTGCATACATGAATAGTTCTGACATCATGGCAAAGTATACGCAATCGGGCAACAGGACGAGACCCTCTTCCAGCACAATGCGGATCACTTTCAGATCACCACTCGAAACGCGATCGATGGACTTGCCACGCGAGTTGAAGGCAGCAGACCTATGGGAAATTGCCTTTCGTCTGACCAAGGGCCGCTACACGAGCTACGAGCTACGGCATCGAAATGTTCGGATCCCTGCAACTCAAGAACTCGCCGTCAATATGATCAATGCCGCCTACGAAGTGTTTATCACACCTCTGGAGCCGACGGCATCGAGTACGAGCAGTGGTCTTGAGGAACTGTGTCTCATCAAGGTATATCACAACTACTACCAGGACAGTGTTGTGTCATATTGGACACCGAAACAGACTACCAAAAGTCTAGCATCAGCTGTCTTCCGATATTATCGTCAGAGGTTCATGGACATGTCGACATACCACGTTGAACAGCCCTTCATCTTCTGGACCAGACTGCATGATACTGGGGACAACCACATTGCCGGTACACCAGTGTACGACCACTGGAGGTCGATGGCACCCTATTTCAACAGTACCGATTCGACTGGCAAGCTAGCAACAGAGAGTGTTGTTGACAAAAACTCCAACGACGACGTATCAGACGATACAGATCATGAACATACAGCGCTGGGTATTCGTCCTCTTGTATTCAAGGTATTTCTAGGAGGATCCCCACGCTCTAGTAAGAAGCGCGATACATTGAGCCGCCTAGACGTCCTGAAGTAGATGTTTGATGCCTACGTCAATCGTCTGCTTGCATATAACTTCCAGACACATCTTGGTTTGGTTACTTCCAGTAACAAGTCGTCCTTATCACAGAAAATTACGAATGCCGTCGAACAATTCCGTCACAAACTCAACAAAGTGAAAGCATCTGGGGACACGGCTATCTGGGACAGTATTGATCCACTTGTACCAAGCCTCAGGAACTTCGGGAAGTTCAGCAATATCATGATACAACAACCAAGTAAGGAAATCGCAGAGTTGTGAAGAATTCAAGGCGTTGACAAATGCCTTGGTAAACTTTGGGATCAGAGGCAGAGACGGTGGCATTGCTGAAGATGACGAAGGAGACGTGAGTACTGGAGACTGTGCTTCTGGCTCGTGTGGCTTGCTGAAGAAACTACGCAGACCTAGGCGACGACGTTGAGGCCGAGAGTTGTACGGCTGAGAAGACGTGGAAGTCGAAGGATATATGCTATCGGGTGGCGTGCGATGTGCCGATCGATACTTGTTGTGCATCCCGAGTATGGATGGCTTACGCTGTGGAAGCTTGTTTGGTGGATCCATTGGTGCTAGCAGTGAAATGGGGCCTGTCCGGTGCGGTTACAATACGGCTGAGGTGGAGCTGCGGTCAGTATGTAAACTCGATATGGCTTTCGTGTGGAGAAACGTCACTGCTATTCGTAAGCTTCAGTGTTCATGGGGTTCACTACCACATGAAAAGGATCTATTGACATGCAAAAGAAAGTTGAAAAAGACGTGACTGACCGCGCAGAAGCTCAACTCTATAATGAGGCTTGAGTAGTAGAGATTTGAGCCTCTCGCAAATACTTGCGGTTGCGACTGAAGTGGGGGACTCGCTTGTGCCAGGCTGAAAGTTTGATTAGAGGCGATGCAGATACGCAAACGCCTTTTATTACAGCTGAGTGAATGCTGATACTGCGCAGCTACTGCCTTCTTTCACCAATGAATCATTACGTCTACTTCGATATATCTCACGGGATTTACACGCGTAACGCGCTTTCAGCTTTCAAGCGTATAGTGTCGATTTTGTCTACAGCGGTCGCATTGCAGAGGCAGATATCGTGTCATAAGCTAGTGATAAAAAGGCAACCGCGTGCGCGTATTCTATGACCTAGTCTTCGTCGTGGCTTTGCTGCTCGTCGTCGTCAAAGACCTTTGGCAAATATAATTTGGTGTTTTCGTAAACCAGGAACGTGACGACAGTGGTTGGAATAACTCGCAGCGTATTGGGAATAACACTGTGAAGGTTAGCTTCGCTATACATCAGGTGTAGAATGCAGAGGAATTTCTTACCCTTTGTAGAACGCCAGGAATCCTTCGTTCTGGTAAGTCTTTCTAAGCACATCCAGCAGTCCGTTGTACTGCTGAGCGGCATTGTACTGTTGCAACCTCGCTCTTATTGGCTGATACGGATACGTGATCGCTCCAGCTAGTAATTTGCTTCCGCCGCTCATGTAGACGTACTCCCAATTGCTTAGCTTATCTTGCCCGCCAATATGTGTTCCCCGTCTCTTCTTCATATTCTCATAAATGCTAAATTGTACTGCACCATGTAGTACACCCAGAGACGAAGGCAAAAAGCCTGCCCATAGCCCCGTCAATCCTCGAGTTTCGTATACGTGACGGAGACCAAAGGTCATCGACTTGTATGCAGAGGGATGATTCGCGCCGCGCTCAAGCATACGGGTTTTCACTACCCATATAGGGTTTGTGCAAGCTCCAGTGAGAAGGCCTAGCAAACGGTCAGTAAGGCACATCAGAGTACCGTTCCTCAACATACCAGCAATGATGCTCGCGGAAAAGAACTCAGCACTCCCAAGATGCTCTCCTTTTTGCCTTCTACTTTGGAATAGTTCTTTCAGATTGCCATAGAAGAGGAAGTACAAGCCCCAGCCTAGACTGTTGCCCAACAAGTTTGGCCATAGCCCTCTGTACAATGCGCGTACGCCCCCTTCGTCCTTGATGACGTTTCGAAGTATTCGATACGAGTCACCAGGTCGCGATCGGCTTTGTGTATTGAGCTGCAGTCGGTTCTTCAACAAGTCGAGTGGATGCGCGGCGAGGCAAGAGACGACACCGGCGCTGAATCCGGCTATACTCTCAACAAGAGATGCTGATAAAGGGCTCCTAGGCGCGTTTGCTCGTTTCGTTTTATCATTTTGCTCTACGGGTGGAAATGCGCGGGGCATTGCGGGCTCGGATGGTAGGCAGTCGAAACCGGCAAGAACATCCTCAGACTTGCTAGGATCAGGACGGCACTGTGTTGGTGGAGTGAAGGATGCTATATCATGGCTGCTGTCACGCGGTGGTGCAGACGCCGCCAACAATCGTGGGGGAGAGAAGTTATCGGATGTGGACTCGGTGGAAGCTTGGACCTGCCATCGGAACGACCCGCGGACAGCTCGCGTGGGCTACGTCATTTGGTGCATCGCCGCGCATTGCCGACATAGCAAGGCATGGAGCACACTGCGACGGTCTGCCGGGGCGGCACATATGAACCTCTTACACATAAAGACACGCAACGAACACTTAGCGGAAGTAAATGCTGCATTCACACTATAAATTAAACGTACATGACATACTCAGACTACACACCTGCCCCAAACTTCTGATCCGAGCAACAGGTCGAAGCAGCAGTGCTTTCAGGCTTCTTCTCCTCTCCAAACGCCAGGCGAGAAAGTTTATCTACCAATGTGCTGCCCTGCTTGACGCCGCTCGGAACGCTGCAATAGCTAGGGGGAACATCCATACAAGGGTTGCGTGTGAAGAAATTGCGAGGTCTCAGCAACAGCGTCATCGGCTCAGCAGGCATGATGGGGAAGTCTTCCGGCGATGGGAAATGTGTAATTCCGAATGTGTGCCACAAGACGACATCAGTATTGTCAAGGTTCTCGTGGGGGTTAGCCTCGATCCAGGCGGGGATGCCTTGAGACGGTTCGCCAGAGGTCTGCGGGACGTGACGGCCTGCTGGGTGGAGCTGCGTGTCATCGTCTACAAGACGTTAGTTTATGTCTTTGTACGCGATTTCCAGATGAGACCTACATTTGGTGACATGCACTGCATGTCTCGCAAAACCCGCTCTCTTCCACACCAAACTTCCGGGCTTGGGTAGCAGATCAGGCACTTCCCTGCTCACCAGCTTATAAGAAGCCGGCTTCTTACTATACGGGTTCAGCTTGTTGGTGTTGGCCATTTCCCATGTTCTGCTCGTGGCGCCATTGTAGTCAGTCGCCGCTTGCTCAGGGGTGCTGAGCTTTGTCTTCTTCGCGTAGAAGGCGTTGCCGTACTTGTTCTCCGCACTGCCGACTTCGCCTTCGCCACGTACTGCGTCCACCATAAACACAGTGTTCTCTGGGCCGTCCACGTTTGGATCTATGCGCATGCAGAACAAGTGCTGGTGGTTATGCGCATTCACGCCAGGGTAGACCTCCGTTCCCCAGCCTTTCAAATCTTCGCCCGGTAGCATCGCATATGTATTCAGAATTCCGGTAAGCTTAATCTCCAGTTGAATGGTTCCATCTAGATGGAAGATCCAGTATACGCAGTACTCGTAATTCGCAGCAGTGAAGATCTGTGAGATGATGAGTTTGCGAGCACGAGTGACAGTAACGCTATCATCGCGGAAATCTGTGTGCTTGAACAGAATACCGGCATCTTCTTCGTGAATGCAAATAGCGTTCTTAATGGTCGTTGCCTGGCCGGCGCGATTGACAAATGCTGCGTCCATGTAGTGGATTGCGCCCTTGCAATCACAGCCCAGGCTTAACGAGTTGGTCATGTATCCGCCACCATATTCTCCAAGGTCAAAGGCGTGTTTGCGCTGGTGTGGATGGTCTGGATTACCGTACGGCACCACCATCTCCGCAAGTGAGAGGCGCCAGAAGGTATCGCGAACAGTGCCTTTATCGTTGAACGTGATGTTGGACAGGACTAGGCCTTCGCGGTAGTTGAAGCCAATATGCAGCTTCCAGTTCGCCCAACTAATATATCGCCCATCAAGTTTGAATGAGACGCCTTCCGGCTGTGTGATGTTGATGGGTTTCAAATCGGTCTTAAACCCACCTTCAGCTTCGATAGCAGCTGCATGATAGTTGTTCGGTGGAGCCTGGTTGAGAGGTCTTCGGACTGGTGGAACATCAATGTGGATGATCTCTTGGGTGTCGGAGTTATAGATAGGGCAGAAATCCAACGGGTACGTGTATTGGCAGTCATCAACGTGTGGACGGTAGTACATGAGGGCTTGCTGAAGACGGACTTTGGTGCCGAAGCGTTCATCGTAGCCAATAGTCCACGGGTCGCAGTAGACCTTGTGCATGTCCTCCGGTGGGATACCGATTATGCCACATTGTTCGATAACCTTCGGATCTTTCCGCACAATCGTCTCTACTATTTGCAAATCCTCCATAGTAATCTGAATCTAGGTCAAAGGAGGGTCCCGTGCATTGAGTTTTCTTCCCAACTTACAAGTGGTTGCACGTCATCAGTCAATGCCCATGTGACAATCTTGCCTTCAGTCAAATCTGCATGTCCATCGTACACCTTGCTTCCGCGGCCAATGCAAACTACATCGGCAACTCGATGTGGTCGTGGTGTGTGCTCGGGATCTTTTAGCCATTTCATCATCTCTGCCTTACGCGGTTCCAACAACGTGATGGCGTTGAAGAACACATCGTTGTGCTCTTTTCTGATGATAGCGACTGCGCGCTCAATCTCGGATTCACTCAAAGGATCGAACGGGTGTGGAGGCTCTCCAATTCCCGTTATGTGTGACGCTGCTTGCTTCAGTCGATCGAGGGCCATTGCAGAGATGTGTTGTTGTAGAGGTCGTTGAGGCAGACTTACTGTTCGAAGCTATCAGGGTCCAGCGGGGTCTTTATACTTTCGTGACAGATCAATGACCCAACGGCTCAGCAGCGCGATCTCAAACGTATGTCTATTGACTCAACCGCTGCTCGTTCGCCAATCAGATAAGTCATTGTTGCATTAAAATATTTCCAACTGTCAACTGGCGGTCTCAAACGCTGTTATCGACGCGATAAGCAGAGGCCGCGGGACTATCGCGCCAGTTTCAGTTAGTCTGCCCCACTTCTCCACGCACGTCGCCCTCTGGGCAATTCAGTTTGATGCATCGCTTGTGCAATAGCTACCATCTTTGGACGCTGTCTGTTATATCACGTTATTTTCATAAGAGTAATGAGTGCTATCGCGGCATCTTGAAGCGGTAGGTCCAACCGACAGAACATTGTGGGTAGACGGTCATGACGTCTCGTGTCGGACAAGAAGGTCCGATTCTTCGGCCTGTCAAGTCCGCTATCGCAGATTCAGAATACAGCAAAGCAACTACATGAGACTCTTCAGGATACGGATCGGAAGGTAGACCTGAACATGGTCTTGTAACGTGGACATAGTCGCTAACTTTGATTACAGACCTTGTAACATGACGGATCCAAGCTGCGTCCTCGAGCAAACATCTCTTCATAATAAAGCCAGGAGGCTACAAACACCAGTCATATGGTACTCCCTACCCTTCTGCATCCGTCTCCATCTCTTCGCCATGTTTTCTTTCGACTCTACTTCTTCAATCGCATCATCGTCTTCATCAGTCTCCTCGCTACATTCATCGCTCAAGAACTCTCTCACTTACAAGGGACCACCAAAGGTGCGAACGATCTATCCGAACTCCATATCTCCCGGGTCTACTTCCTCGCAGACATCAAATCGAGCGTTCTTAGAAGCCTGGAAGATATTTTGTGCATCGTTATATTCCGTCTCTGAGAATCGACTATTACCTCGAACTCGGGATGATACCGAAATCTGACGCGTCCCAGCGCAGACTCACAATATCTTAATGAAAGGGTCAAGAGTCTCCATATCCCTCTTGTCTCGCTGTGGCGTAAACTGTTGAACACGAAAGGCGCTCATATGCCATGAGATGGAGTTCCGCTTAGAGGTTTAGGAACGGTGAGTGGTTGGCAGTCCTGTAAGAATGCAAGGCTGCTTGCGATATCAGTACTGCAAACACAAGGTACCACCTGCGCTCTATCTCGTACCAACAACAAACGTGCGATGTCTCTTCAGAAAGTCAAGCGATATAATGAGTTCTGTACAGTACCAATCCTCTTCTTACTGATATCATACTACAGTGCTGAAGTCTACTAACAACGATTCTGGGGAGAGGTATCAAGCTTCGGACTTGGTACTTCATCATCGAGGCGATGCGTTACTCCCGGACACAAGATACTAACCTTGTTTCACACCTCACCTTGTCAACGTGACTTTCCAGGTTGTCGTAAAGTTCATTCCAACTATCGAGTGAGGATGTCAGCGGAGAGGACTTCAGACTGCTCTTCGGAACAAGTGCTTCACATTGGATTTTACTATTGGCTCTGAGGGGACATATCTTCCCCAAGAAAGAATGGTGGTGAGCTTCCTGAAAACTGGCCTTGTCTCCGAAACCACAACAAGGTTTTCAACATTCGCAGCAGAGACCAGTCTAACACGAATGACGAGTGTTATTCGTCACTCGTTGCGCGACTGATAACACCCGTGGAGTGTAGGATGAAGACTCGATGACGCCACTCGATCACGATGGCCATAATAGGCCATCAATAAACTATTGGAAAAAAGAAGAAGAAGAAAGTTTGCCAATCTTTCCAGATATCCGTCGAGGACATTGCAGTCGCGGATCTGCGACAGGTCATGAGACGATGTTTAGAATTTACAGGTCTTTCTAGTCTCCCTCTTGATCGACTTGGTTGTCCTCAGACCAGGTTGCTGGATTTTCCTGGAACACATTGGGGAAGACATCGAAATCGGCCTCGACCGGCAAAGATCTGCCCGGTGCTGCCAAGTAAGTGACGTCACACGGCTCAGGTACACCCAACCTGCCCCTTTAGTCTAGCTTTCCCCATACAACCTACCTAAGCGCCCGCCTGCAGGGACCATCCGTGACTCTACAAACAACTACCCTCCATCTGGTTAATACGACACCACGGCATGGTGGTGCTAGAATACTGAGTATATTTGCCGAGGCTAACGCTTCAGATCTTTAGACCCACGGCAGGCGAACACGAGACCTCAAAACCACGCTTGACACCGGCAACGAGGACGATCAGGATACCTTCCCCCGGAGGAACGGCGGTAAGCGCGTGACTTTAGACTACTGTGTTGACCGCAACAGAGCCCTGAGTGGTGAGGGCGAATACCAGGCAAGCGGCTCGAGATTAATTCTGCCAACTAAAGTGTAGTCTGCATCTTGGCCATCTGGGGTAGCATTCATCTAGAACGCTGGTGCATGAGACCGCGGAGTGAAGCTTGATTATCGAGCAAGCGTTACCTAGTGATATCGCAGGAGGCATGCATGCCCGACTGGCGCCATGTAGCAGCCGTTGGGTTGTCAACTAGGCAGCCTTTCCACAAGCATGACTTGCAGACTTGCACATTCTTCGCTGTCGATACAAAACCGTTTTGAAACCTAAACGCCATGACGGCCCGCCGCGGAAGGACAGAGCCGGTGACCGAGTACGAACACTCATGGTAATCGTGCTAATAATGGTGGTCGCCGACATTACCCAGATGAGAAGCTGAGAGAAAGTAATGAGTTTGGTACATTATCTCATAATAGTATCGACTTGGTCAAACCGCCAGTATTGCATCTTTCTCGGAAGCTTTTGTTTTGACGGCAAGTAGCAAAAAGGTGTCCAAATTAGCGAGGTGTGTCTACTATTTGAGCAAAGATCCGCGCAACGGGCCGCTATGTGGGTGGTGAAGGAGAAACTCTCAGACCTCCAGTTCTTGTAATAGCTTATTTCCGCTTCTGGTTTTGAAACCGCCTCAGTTCGGTTAGGCCATCGCAATTTCCACGCCTCTTGCTAGTAGCGAATAAGAGCTATTCTACATTCACTGCTCTTCGAACTTGGATTTAGCCGAAAGATTTGTTACACCTCCTTCTTCTTACGGTCTTAACTTGGTCGCTGACTGTACGTGTACCAGAATATCTTTAGCCCCTTCCTAACTCTTCCGAACCTCACGAAGCTGTGGTGGTGTCAGGCGACGAGGCAAATCGCCAGTGAACGAGCCGTGTCGCTCCACCTCGCACTGTCTTCGTGGTCGCCTGATCCTGCTAGCAGCGTACTATACATCAACTTCATGACTACTACAGCTGATCTTCGTGAAGGAGAACGAACGATGTCACTCCATTGCCTGCTTTCATACGACGTTATGAGCTCTACCCTGGTCTACTTCAGCGGCTTACAGGATATCCAGAAGATCCTCGGACGATGTGGTCCATTCTGGGGGCTAGCAACCCCATCATGATTCGCAAACTCGAACACCGGACCGGTGAAGTATCTTAGATTGCATGGCCGGCCTTGCGCCTCTTTCGTCAGCCAGGAGCCCCTTTGGCAATTTGCCCCATGTGGATTCACGATGTGGTGTCTTCGTGCCGCTTAGCACGATCAGTCGAAGATCCGTGAAAAAGTTATATAGTCCTCCAGTTGCACAGTGTAACAGTCAAGCAATTGGACATTCATTCCAGCAGTTCAAGTCCGAGCACCCTTTCCTGTTTCAGGTGGGAAAAAGCAACTTCTCTTCTATACTTAGATACCCCATATTCAACCCCGCCTCATCATGAAGAGTACAACTCTTCTAACCTGTCTGTTTGCAGCCGGTGTTCAGGCTTGGATGCCTGCGGACCGCGAACTTCCAGCCTTCAACCGCACCAGCAACTATTTGAGCAAACGTGCCCATTCACTTCCGAGTTGGAAGATTCGTGGAGTCAACCTTGGCGGTTGGCTACTGTCAGAGCCATGGATGATGAACCAAGAGTGGTCAGACATGGGCTGTGGTGACTCCTGCTCCGAATTCGACTGTGTCAACAAGCTTGGCCAGTCTCAAGCAAACACTGCTTTCAACGGTCATTACTCTCGCTGGATCACTCCAAGCATGATACAAGATATCCATGATGCTGGTCTGAACACCATTCGTATTCCAATCGGATACTGGAGTCTTCACAGCCTGGTAGGCAGCGGCGAGCATTTCCCTGAGATGGATCTGAAGTACCTTGATGCCGTTATCCAGAAAGCTGCGGATCTGGGTATGTTCGTGGTCATTGACCTACACGGTGCGCCTGGTTCGCAAAAGGTGGGCGATGCGTTCACTGGGCAGGTAAGTCTTCGAGTACTAGATCTATCTTGAGTCAATGCTTATGTCTATTGCAGTGTCTTCCTGAAGCATACCTTCCAGGCTTCTTCTCCCAAGCCAATTACGACCGCGCTACAAAGTGGCTCGACTGGATGACCAAACGTATTCATAACACTCCTTCATATAGAGCCACTGTCGGTATCATCGAGGTCGTCAACGAGCCGCAGACCTCACGTGACAAAGGTGGTATGCCACAGGCTGAGAAAGATACCTTGACGCAAAAATACTACCCACAAGCTCTTGCTGCTGTCCGCAACGCTGAGAATTCCTTGGGTATCTCCGATGACCAGCGCCTTCACGTCCAATTTATGGATTCACAATGGGGTGCCGGCAATCCCAAGTCCAACCTCCCATCAGACTCCAAGATAATCTTTGATGATCACAACTACGTCGGCGGAGCGGTAACCTCCAACAACCCCAGCGCCACCCAAGGTGACTACATGTACTACACGTGCTACACGGACAACCGCCAGACCGATGGCGATAACCCCAAGATCGTGCAAGAGTGGAGTCTTACCGTTGCCAATGAGTACACTACCGAATTTGACTGGAAGAACGATAACAACATTCCGTTCTACAAGCAGTGGTTCATCGCTCAG